TCCAGTTTGGAGCTGTTATGCACAGTTGTATGCAAATGTCTGCGTGGATATGTGTTTTCATTTTTCTTGTGTCAGATATTGCTAGACAGGGTGGTAAACAGACATTGACCTTTGTAAAAAAACTGCCATACTTTTTCCCAAAGTAGTTGTATCAGCCTCACAGAAGAGAGCACTTCCCTCTGCCTTCACCAGCTCTTGGTATTGTTACCCTTTCCGATTTTCGCCTTTCTGGTGGGTGTCCGTGGCTTCATTTCCACTTCCCTACAGCCTGGTGATGAACATCCTTTAATGCGCTCGCCAGCCATTGTGTATCCTCTTCTGCCATGTGTCTGGTTCAATCTTTTGCTCGTTTAAGTTGGATTATCTTACTGAGTTGTAAAAATTTTCTTAAATATATTATGTGTGCAAGCTCGTTGTTAGAAGTGTGTCTGTGTGATTGTGGAGTATTTCCTCCCAGTCGATTCGCTCGTCTTTTCATTTTGGTTTGTTGGTTTTTGAGATAGAGTCTCACTGTCTTGCCTAGACTCACTGCAGCCTCCGCCTCCTGGGTTCAAACAATTCTTCTGCCTCAGTCTCCGAAGTAGCTGGGATTATAGGTGCCTGCCACCACGCCCAGCTAATTTTTTGTATTTTTATTAGAGATGGGGTTTCACCAGATTGGCCAGGCTGGTCTCCAACTCCTGACCTCATATTATCCCCCCGCCTCCCAAAGTGCTGAGATTATAGGTGTGAGCCACTGTGCCTGGCCTTGTCTTTTTGTTTTTGTGACTGTGTCTCTCTCTCTTTTTTTTTTTAAAGAAATGGGTAAAAGTTTTTTTTTGTTTGTTTTGTTTTGTTTTTGGTGAGACAGAGTCTTGCTCTGTCGCCAGGGTGGAGTGCAGTGGCATGATCTCGACTCACTGCAACCTCCACCTCCCAGATTCAAGTGATTCTCCTGCCTCATCCTCCTGAGTAGCTGGGACTCCCACTGTGTGCCACCACACCTGGCAAATTTTTGTCTTCTTAGTAGAGACCGGATTTCGCCATTTTGGCAAGGATGGTCTCGATCGCTTGACCTCATGATCCACCTGCCTCAGCCTCCCAAAGTGCTGGGATTATAGGTGTGAGCCACAGCACCCAGCCACAGTTTTTAATTTTAATGAAGCCTGGTTTATGAATTTTTCCTTTAAGGACAAAGTTTTTAGAAATTTTTGTCTATCCCAATGTTTATGAACATTTTTCTCTTACGTTTTCTTGTAGGCATTTTTCAGTTCACGGTCTTTAGGTTTATAACCTGTTTTATGTTAATTAGTTTTATGAGGTTAAATGCAATCTTTTGTTTCTGGTATCGACGAACTTTGATAAGATAATTTCTTTTTAAACATGTTCCTAGATCCAGTGTGTTAGCGTCTTGTTCCTATCTCTGTTTATAAGTGATCACTCCATGATTTCACTGAGTACCCTCCCTGTCCAGTTTCAACAGGAAGGTTTTGATTTCTTTCTAGCCTCATGAAATGAGCCGGGGTGTGCGCCCTCTTACTCTGCTCAGGTCAAGTTTGAATTAGGTGGGAATGATTTGTTCTTTGAATGTGAGTAGAACCCACCTCCCCCTCCAATGGAGCCATCTGCACCTCAAGTTGACGGTGATGTCCTGGCCAGGGAGATGTGGCTCTCTGAAGTTTGGGGACCCTTTATAATGGTTTGGAAAGAGCTCGGAGAAATGAGCTGGTCTCTTGTGAGAGCTGCAGGGCACACCTTGTCTTGGGCAGCCCAGAGCAGGTTGGGGAGGTGCCAGGTGAGATTGTACCCTGGTTACCAGGCAGGCATGGCAGGGATGGATGCTGGGGCCATGCTGACTGCCCTCAAGGCCGTGCCCTGCCCAGGCCGGGTCTCTCAGCACTGTCAGAGGTGGATGCAGATTGGTGGAGCCCTCAAAGATGTTGCTGAGAGGCTCTGGGTGTCTGTGGTGGGCACTCCCCAGGCTGCAGGTGTGGAGGGCAGGGTAGCCAGATCCCTGCAGCTGCTGGAGGTGGACCAAGCAAAGCTAGTCTGAGCAAGGAAAGCCCTCCAGGCCAGATTGCCTCGTCTTTTGGGAAAGGAATGGAAGGATTTGGCAGATTCTTGCTTCCTGAGAGATGACGGAGGCTCTGCTCAGGAGAAAAACCATTCTAGCCACGCAGAGCTCCGATTGCCCCCTCCCCGTGGAGGTCTGACAGCTACTTCCCTTGCTGGTCAACATGCCTCTCCCTCTTTACTACATCCCCTGAGCTGGCATTTTCTAGTCAAAGCATCCCATGGGCCTCTACGTGCTTCCCTCATGTGGGCCTTTGGGGGCAGCCAGGGGCCCCGGCTCTTCACACTTGCACTTCATCAGGCATGGGTGCGAGGGCCGGGCATTTAGTGAGTGGAGCTGAAATGCCTCAGAACCTGCCAGAGCTGGGCACATGACTCATGCCTGTACTCCCAGCACTGTGGGAGGCAAAGGTGGGAGGATTACCTGAGCCCAGGAGTTTGAGACCAGCCTGAGCAACATAAGGGAGGCCTCCTCTCTACAAAAAAAATTTTAAAAATTAGCTGGGCATCATGGCTTGGGCACATAGTTCTGGCTACTTGGGAGGCTGGGATGGGAGGACTGCTTCTGCCCAGAAGGTTGAGGCTGCAGTGAGAAGTAATCACGACACTGTACTCCAGTGACAGAGCGAGACCCTATCTCTAATAAAACAACCCCTGAAATGCCAGGAGAGTGCTATGCCAAGCTGGTGCCTGTTTGGAGCAGAGCCCAAGGCCAGCAGGAGGTTTGCAGAATTGTTTCTGGGGCCTCTCTGTCATGGTGCGGAAGTGGGGATCGGGGGTCCTGAGCCCCCAACACTAGAACCCCAGTCCCTCCCAGCAGCAAGTGTCCATTTCATAGCTCTTCTCATCAGTGCCTCTGAGGAGCTCCAGGGGTTCTGGAAGTGTCCGTCATCTGCTATATGTGGCGTATAAAGTGCCCAGCACATCCCAGGCCCTCCTGTGTCTGACTGAAGGTGGCGTATAACATACACCGGCACATCCAGGCTCTCCTGTGTGTGACTGAAGGTGGCGTATAACATACACCGGCACATCCAGGCTCTCCTGTGTCTGACTGAAGGTGGCGTATAACATACACCCGCACATCCAGGCTCTCCTGTGTGTGACTGAAGGTGGCGTATAACATACACCGGCACATCCAGGCTCTCCTGTGTCTGACTGAAGGTGGCGTATAACATACACCGGCACATCCAGGCTCTCCTGTGTCTGACTGAAGGTGGCGTATAACATACACCCGCACATCCAGGCTCTCCTGTGTCTGACTGAAGGTGGCGTATAACATACACCGGCACATCCAGGCTCTCCTGTGTCTGACTGAAGGTGGCGTATAACATACACCCGCACATCCCAGGCTCTCCTGTGTCTGACTGAAGGTGGCGTATAACATACACCCGCACATCCAGGCTCTCCTGTGTCTGACTGAAGGTGGCGTATAATATATACCCGCACATCCAGGCTCTCCTGTGTCTGACTGAAGGTGGCGTATAATATACACCCGCACATCCCAGGCTCTCCTGTGTCTGACTGAAGGTGGCGTATAATATATACCCGCACATCCAGGCTCTCCTGTGTCTGACTGAAGGTGGTGTATTACATACACCCGCACATCCCAGGCTCTCCTGTGTCTGACTGAAGGTGGCCTATAACATACACCGGCACATCCAGGCCCTCCTGTGTCTGACTGAAGGTGGCGTATAATATACACCCGCACATCCCAGGCTCTCCTGTGTGTGACTGAAGGTGGCGTATAACATACACCCGCACATCCAGGCTCTCCTGTATCTGACTGAAGGTGGCGTATTACATACACCCGCACATCCCAGGCTCTCCTGTGTCTGACTGAAGGTGGCGTATAACATACACCCGCACATCCAGGCTCTCCTGTATCTGACTGAAGGTGGCGTATTACATACACCCGCACATCCCAGGCTCTCCTGTGTCTGACTGAAGGTGGCGTATAATATACACCCGCACATCCAGGCTCTCCTGTGTGTGACTGAAGGCGGCGTATAACATACACCCGCACATCCAGGCTCTCCTGTGTCTGACTGAAGGTGGCGTATAACATACACCGGCACATCCAGGCCCTCCTGTGTCTGACTGAAGGTGGCGTATAACATACACCCGCACATCCCAGGCTCTCCTGTGTGTGACTGAAGGTGGCGTATAACATACACCGGCACATCCCAGGTCCTCCTGTGTCTGACTGAATGCATGAGCACCGACTCACTCATGGGCCTAGTTTGCTGATTTATAGAAGTTTGAAGTGATGTTGCCCAAAGGAGACACAGGTCTTACAAAATTGCTTAAAAGATAGCGTTAGAGGCCAAGGCAGGTGGATCACAAGGTCAAGAAATCAAGACCATCTTGGTCTCAACTTGGTGAAACCCCGTCTCTACTAAAAATACAAAAATTAGCTGGCTTTGGTGGCGTGCGCCTGTGGTTCTAGCTACTCAGGAGGCTGAGGCAGGAGAATCACTTGAACCCAGGAGGTGGAGGTTGTGATGAGCCAAGATTGTGCCACTGCACTCCAGCCTGGTGATAGAGTGAGACTCTGTCTAAAAAAAAAATAGCATCAGAAGACCAGGTGTGGTGGCTCATGCTGGTAATTCCAACACTTTAAGAGGCCGAGGTGGGCAAATCACGAGGTCAGGAGTTCGAGACCAGTATGACCAATGTGGTGAAGCTCCGTCTTTACTAAAATTCCAAAAATTAGCTGGGCAAGGTGGTGTGCATCTTTAATCCCAGCTATTCGGGAAGCTGAGGCAGGAGAATTGCTTCGTCCCGGGAGGCAGAGGTTGCAGTGAGCCAAGATTACACCATTGCACTCCAGCCTGGGCAATAAGAGCAAGACTCCATCTCAAAAAAAAAATAGCATAAGAAAAATGTCGTCCTTGTATGCCATGTTCTCCATTTTATTGACGTTTTGCCTGACTTTGTCTTTGTTTCAGGGAAATTGTGGAACACATGGTCCAGCACTTTAAAACCCAGATCTTTGGGGATCGGAAGCCCGTGTTTGATGGCAGGAAGAATCTGTACACAGCCATGCCCCTTCCGATCGGGAGGGACAAGGTAAGTTCCCTGGGGTGCCGTTGGTGGAATCACGTGCAGTGACGTGCCATAAAGTGCACGCCTGTTCTCATACACAAAACTATTCCCCTGAGGAGGAGAGAGCAGCTCCTTGCCATGGGCTTCGTCCTGAGATCCATAAAAACTACCTTCTGTGTATTGTGGTTTTCGGTGATAGGGGTTAACTTGTCTAGGTCCAGACACAGATTGAGAGCTTGAAACCACCAACCTTCAAGTACAGCGTACACACACAAAACACAAGCCACAAACCACCACCAGACAAGAGCCGAGAGTAAGCTCCAGTATTATAAAGACCTCCGGAGGCTGAGGCGGGAGGGTGGCTTAAGCCCAGGAGTTAGAGGCTGAAGTGAGCTATCTCAGTGCACCACGAATTCCATCCTGGGTGACAGAGTGAGACTCTATCTCCACAAAAAGACCTATGGAAAAGCAAGTTCATATGGGGGTGTGTGAGAGAGCGCCATGGCAGGGAGACACAGTTAATAGTCTCCTGTAGCCAGTGATTGATCTGAAATTAGAATGATGGGGATGAGTCAAACCTGGCACTAGCGGTTATATGAAAATGTCACCTTCTCTTATGGCTTTATTTAAAAAGTAATAAAATTTCTGCCCAGAAGTTTTGACTTCTTGGGAACATCTTTCAACAAATGTGCTGCTCCAGAGCAATACAGGTGTTGTTTGTAAGTAGAAGAAGAACAGAAACCTGTCTCAGAAATAATCTTGACACGCACTTTAAGAAGCACACACATCAGAAACCAGGAATTTAACAACTATGAGGATGAAGGGTTGACTCCCTTTGGGACAGCGTATGCAGTTTGCTTTTTAAACCCCAAGTTCCTGAGAAGGAAGCCAGCTCAGTGTGCAAAGGGTCTCATGCTGCTGTCACGATGTCTATTTTAGTGGGAGGGCCATGAGCCTCTACATTCAGGCTTCTTTCTTCTGAGACAGGGTCTCACTCCGTCGCCCAGGCTGGAGTGGGATGGTGCAGTCATGGCTCGCTGCAGCCTTCAATTCCTAGGCTCAAGCATTCCTCCCACCTCAGTTTCCAGAGTAGCTGTTTTTTCATTTTGATGATAATCTTGAATAAGCTCCTTTCAGCCTTTCTGGATGGTCTACAGGGTGCTGCAGGCTCAGCACCCAGTGGTGCTCCTCCACGTTCTCATGCTCTGGCAAGGGGAGAATGTGCTGTGACTGAGCAGAGGCCAAGGGACGACATAGGACTCTGCATAAAGTGACCTCACGGATCCAGGAGGGGGCGGCGGTCTGTGCATTGTCACTGCCAGCCCAGGGTGACAGACGTTGGTCCTCCCAGTGGGAGCGGGTCCTAGGACCAAACCACGTCAGTCCAGCATAATCACCCCTTGCAAACTAACGTGCTGTGGCATTGAAAGGTAGTCATTTAAAACTTTTGTGCTGAATTTGCATTGTTTTTATTTAAAGTTTCATAAGAAAGAAAAGCATAAGGAGTTTGTGCGCAGTTTTGTCTGCAGATTTTTATATTTACACACAGGGCGGGCATCAGGGTAGTTTTTCTGAAAAGGGGCTGAGGGAGTCTATATGGTATCTAACATTTACATTTGAGACCTGTCATCCTGGAAATCACCTGCACACACACTCTGGGTTAAACATAGCTATGGGTGTGAGGCCTGGCCTGGCCCTTCCTGTGGCAGGACCTGGGGCACCTCACCCAGCCAAGCCTCAACTGACTCACCTGTAAAATGGAGAGGCGGCAACAAAAAGTACCTCCCAGGGGCTTCGTGAGAGTTCACTGAGCACGTACACCCCAAAAACAGCTTCTGGCCTGGGGCCTGTACCCCATGGCCCCAGGTGGTGCATCTCCCACCAGCTCTAGCCAGTGCCCATGCTGCTAGCCACATGCCACACGTTGAGTAGTGAGGGTTTAAAATTCTTTGTTTAAGGCTAGGTGCAGTGGCTCACACCTGTAATCCCAGCACTTTGGGAGGCCAGGAGTTCGAGACCAGCCTGGCCAACATGGCTAAATCCCGTCTCTACCAAAAATACAAAAAAAATGGTTAAGCATGGTAGCACACATCTGTAATATCAGCTACTTGGGAGACTGAAGCATGAGAATCACTTGAACCCAGGAGGCGGAGATTGCAGCGAGCCAAGATGGCGCCACTGCATGCCAACCTGGGCGACAGAGCAAGACTCTGTCTAAAAATAAAAATTTAAATGAAGCTTAAATCACAGAACTGCTGATTTCTGGCCCTGGTCCGTCAGCCTTGCCTATGGTCAGAGTGTTTTTCTGGGGTGCTCACGAGAGTCCTCATACATACAGCACTATACCCAGTGGACATTCATTCCCTCTTAAGTTTCATCCCAACCATTCTCGTCCCTTTGTCAGATGAGAAGCTCAGGTCAACCGGGAACGATGACTCACATCTGTAATCCCAGCACTTTCAGCAGCTGAGGCAGGTAGATCACCTGAGGTCAGGAGTTCGAGACCAGCCTGGCCAACATGGTGAAACCCTGTCTCTACTAAAAATGCAAAATTAGCCAGGCATGGTGGCATATGCCTGCAATCCCATCTACTTGGGAGGCTGAGGCAGGAGAATTGCTTGAATCAGGGAGGCAGAGGTTGCAGTTGGCTGAGATCGTGCCATTGCACTCCAGCCTGGGCAACAAGTGTGAAACTGTCTCAAAAAAAAAAAAAAAAAAAGAATGGTACAAAAAGAAAAGAAAAGCTCAGGTTCCAGAGAACGCAGAGAACCTACTTGAAGCCACTGTGTTGGTCAGCATGGGGTTCCCTGGTTGCAGACCACGGTCCTCCCACTGGTCTTGGGGGTTCTGTAGGGTCTCTGCAGGTACAGAAATTAACCCCTGCTATGCGAGAGCCTGCATAACGAGGTGTGCCCATGCCCACCTTCTCGCATCATGTCCCAGTGTCGTCCTTGGGTTTTCTCTTTTTTTCTGCAAAGTACTTTTTCATGCCTCACCTGTGGTAAGAGCAGAATGGTTCTGGTGCTCCATTACCCTGGGGGCTCTCAGGGACTCTGGCAGCTCTGCCAGGTGTCTGTGCAGAGGGCCTGTGTCACGTTGCCCTTACACATGAAGGCCCTTGCTCCCCTCCTGCAGTGTCAGCCTGTCTGCCTTCATCCTAGCCCCTGTGTGGAAAGAGATGAGTTCTCCCAGGCCTGGGAGACTCTGAGACCACCCGGCCTCACTCCCTCACCTTCCAGAACTGGAGATGGAGACCCAGGAAGCGATCGAAGTTGATGAACATTTTGGGTTGAAGTCCTGGGTCTTTTTTTGAAGGCATGATGTGTGTTGTCTATTCTTCTTAGCGCTGGGTCCAGCCCCATCCTCCCCTTTCGGGACCCATGGAAGATCTGAGCTCCCTGGAGCATCTCTGCTCATTTGAGTAGAATATTTGAACAGGTGGCCAGAAGGAGCAGTGTTTAGGAACCTATGGAGACTGCTGTAAACTCCCCAAATAACCAAAGATGAGTGGCATCAGCCCAGAGGGGTTCGGCTGGTGGGAGATGATCCTGAGAGTGTATCACCGCGTCCCATTGAATGATCTCATTGAATGTATGGTTGGCATGGTCTGGGAGGGGTGGTGGAGAGCACAGGAGTCTCCTTCCCAGAAGGAAGTTAGGGCAGACCCTTCCTGGAAGCTGAAGGAGATGGTAGCTCAGTGCTCCTGCCTGTCCACCTCTGTGCCCAGCTCAACCATGCTGTGACCACAGGAGTGCCTGGCTGCTGCCTCCTGACCTGGGATAGGGGTGTCTGGCAGCAAGGGAGACCAGGGGCTCCCGAGGCAGTGAAGCTTCTGCACCTGAAGGCTCAGGGAGGGAAGGCAGGGGGTGAGGAGAGGCCTAGGGAGCCTTGAGCAGCAGTGGGGGACCTGCTCAGCCTGGGCCTGGCATAAGTATCTTTGAGGCTGACCTGCCATCTCTTGGAGCTGAGGGTCCCTCCAGCCAGCCAGGTGCCTTGACCCCAGCCCAGCCCAGTGCAAGGTGGTCAGGAAGTGCTGCCGAGCCCTGACTGGCAGACACTCCCTGTACCTGCTGTGTCCCCCACCAGGTGACTTTGAATTCCCCCTACACTTTGCAGACGTGCTGAGTGTGGCTGGTTTTGGTGCTGAAGTCTTTTGGGACAGTGATTTGCCTTTTGAGAGCCAGCTGCTGCTCTGCAGAGTCCCAGGATGCCTTTAGACCTCAGTTCCTGGCACATTTCAACAAGACACGAGCTGCACGGCCCTTCTGGGAGGGGCCCGAGGCAGCCCTGGCTGGCAGACACAGTGGGTGTGGCTGCTCTTCCTGCTGCCCCAGGGAGGCCATGTCCAGGTCAGGATCCTCCTGGCCAGCCAGACATACCACGCCTACAGTGCCTCCCTCTCCCCCTCAGCGGCAGAGGACAGGGAGACTATGGGCTCAGCCAGGGCCACAGCCAAACTTAGCGCAGGAACAGACTTTTGAAAGGCAGCTGCTGGAGTGCAGTGGTACGATGTCAGCTCACTGCAACCTCTGCCTCCTGGGCTGAAATGAGCCTCCTGCCTCAGCCTCCTGACTAGCTGGGACTACAGAAGCATGCCACCATGCCCAGCTAATTTTCTTTTTGTAGGGACAGGGTTTTGCCGCGTTGCCCAGGCTGGTCTCCGACTCCTGAGGTCAAGCGATCCACCTGCTTTGGCCTCCCGCAGTGCTGGGATTACAGGCATCAGCCCCCGAGCCGGCTGCTTTGCGTTCTTTAGAGCGCTGTTTTCTCTTTGTGGCTGAGTTGCGTGATGACACTGAAACAGGGAGACAGTCTTACTTCTCTCACCCTGAGGATTTCCAGACAGGGAGGCCAGCATGCGGTTTGGCTTGTCTGGGGAGATTGGATGTCACAGCTGCCTCACTGTGTTCCAGGCCCTGGATGGGAGTCCTGGCCTGACATTTTCTATTATCCACATTCAGAAAGTGGCATTTGGGCCACTCCCAGAATTTAGCACTTCGCAGCAATTGACACCAGTGCTCTGTGAGGTGGGCAGGGCTTATCCCCTTGTGTGCTGGAGGCTGATGGGCCACCTGCCTGAGGTCAGAACACAGGAGGCAGCAGCGCTGGGAGTGACCTTTAGATGTTGGGTCATTGGGACCCAGCGTTTGAGCTGTTGGGAGGTGGCAGTGTCTCAGGTGGGGGCCACCTGCTGCTGGCAGCCTGGATGCATACAAGGCCTGCCCCCCCGGAGAGCCGCGTGCCTCCTGCCCTCATGGTGTGATGGCCGTCATAAAATCTCCACGCGGCCCTAAGCTGCCCCATGCGAGCACCAGCCAGCCACTGCGGACACAGGATGGGCAGACAGTTACAGAGCCTGGGGTGACTCTGCTGTTTTTCTCTGCAAGCCAAATGGAGGCTGGACTGCAATACATTTACAAATTAGAGTGTATTTTGCTGTGGGAAGAAAATAGCCCGCTAGGAATTTCCCCTCAGTTTTGCTTTCAGAGCTTTTTGAAGGGTGGTGTCGACAGGCATCCGATGTGCCCAGGTCTGTAGCACCTCCTGGCCGGGGCACGTGTGAAATACACGCACTCTCCCACTCCACCTGCATGTCGCGACCCAAGTGTGCCGTTTCTGGACAAGGGGAATGACGCTCTCCCGGCTACTGTTGGGACCAGGTAGCTGCCCGTCCATACTGGAATCGTTCCCCTATCACCATGCCCAGCCAGGCCCCTGGTCCTGGGCCCACGGAGACTCTGTCTCCTTTTCTGGAGTTGGACGGTTTGACGGGGGCACTTGCCCCTCTGCTTCCTGCTGCATGGCCTGCGGCGGCTCAGTCAGCACCTTCACATCTGTCTCCTTAACTGGAGGTAAAGAGAGGCACCGGAAGGGTGGGAGCCAGTGGTTGCAGGAGTCTCTGCCGTGTTGCCAGCGTTGTGCCAAATGTGCACTTTCAGTTACTGTTACTTGCGTATGACTTACTTAGAATTTTATTATAAAGTGCCGCTAATGAAAAAGAAATACCTATACAACTGACCTTTGAACAACAAAACGGTTAGGGGTGCTATACACATCCATATTCATGCTGCTGATAAAGACATATCCAAGACTGGGCAGTTTACAAAAGAAAGAGGTTTGATTGGACTCACAGTTCTACATGGCGCCATGAGAAGCCTCATGGTCATGGCGGAAGGCAAAGGCACTGCTTACATGGCAGCGACAAGAGAGAATGAGGAAAAGGAAAGAGCGGAAGCCCCTGACAAGCCAGTCGGATCACTATCACAAGAACAGCACCGGAAAGACTGGCCCCCATGATTCAGTCATCTCCCCCTGGTCCCTCCCACAACACATGGGAATTCTAGGAGACACAGTGCAAGTTGAGATTTGGTTGGGGACACAGCTAAACGTATCAGGTACTGATCTCCCATGCAGTGAAAAATGCATTTATAACCTGTTTGATTTTTTTTTTGTTTTTAAACAATTTCTCTGTTGCCCAGGCGGGAGTGCAGTGGCGCAATCACAGCTTACTACAGCCTTGACTTGCTGGGCTCAAGCGACCCTCCTGTCTCAGTCTCCTGAGTAGCTAGGACTACAGAGAAGGGGTCTCCCTATTTTGCCCAGGCTGGTCTCCAATGCCTGGGCTCAAACCATCCTCGCATCTCAGCCACCCAAAGAGCTGGGATTACAGGTGTGAACCTCTGCACCTGGCTATGTATAACTTGACTTCCCTAAAACTGCTAGTAGCCTGTTGTGGACCATAAGCCTTACCAATAACATAAACTGTGAATTAACACATATTTTATATGTTATATGTATTATATAGTTTCTTCTTTTTTTTTTTTTTTTGAGATGGAGTCTCACTCTGTTGCCCGGGGCTGGAGTGCAGTGGCGCTATCTCAGCTCACTGCAATCTTTGCCTCCCAGGTTCAAATGGTTGTCCTGTTTCAGCCTCCCGAGTAGCTGGGATTACCGGCTTGTACCACCATGCCTAGCTATTTTTTTTTGAGACAGAGTTTTATTGTTGTCACCCAGGCTACAGTGCAATGATGCAATCTCAGCTGACTGCAACCTCTGCCTTTCTAGTGTAAGCAATTCTCCTGCACCAGCGTCCTGAGTAGCTGAGGTTACAGGCATGCACCATCACGCCAGGCTAATTTTTGTATTTTAGTAGAGACAGGGTTTTGCCACGTTGGCCAGGCTGGTCTTGAACTCCTGACCTCAGGTGATCCACCTGCCTCAGCCTCCCAAAGGGCTGGGATTACAGGCCTGAGCCACGGCACCTAGCCCTGTATAGTTTATTCTTATATTCTTAAACTGGAGAAAAGTTATTTAAGAAATCATAAGGTAAAACAAAAGTTTCCTTTTCATTACGTGGAGATGGATTATCATACAGGCCTTCATCCCCTCCATCTTTATGCTGATGAGAAAAAGGAGGAGCCTGGTGTCGCTGTCTCGGGGTAGCAGAGGCTGAAGAAAGTCCACATATAACTCTACTTGCGTAATTCCAGCCCGTGTTGTTCATGGGCCCGCTTTGTACATATATTTAAAGAGTGATATGAAACCACATCCTGTATCCCCCACCCAGGCCCGGCTGTTTCCTCCTCCCACCCTGACGTCCCCGATGGGCTGAGCCTTGACTGTGTCCTCCCTGCCACCCTGTCCGCTGTCCTGCTGAGTTGGGTGAAGCTGGCGTTTCCCTCTGGCGTTTCCCTCTGTCGTACTGATTTGGGTGAAGCTGGCCCTTCCCTCTGTCGTGCTGAGTTGGGTGAAGCTGGCCCTTCCCTCTGTCGTGCTGAGTTGGGTGAAGCTGGCCCTTCCCTCTGTTGGTTTCCCTGGCTGTGCTGCGTCTCCTGGTCCCCTGCACATGTAGCTCTGACGTCTGCAAGGCATTGTGCTGCAGTGCCCTTCTGTGGCTTGCTGGTTTTCTTGGTATTTGATGTTTGAAGTCCATCCGGCTACAAGGATCCGTTCCTTTTTCCCCACCCTCATCTGTGGCAGATGGTCCTCGGGGTGCTGCCAGTTTGGGGCCGTCACACACGATGGTGCTCTGAGTGCTCATGGGCATGAGGGCATCTGCCAGAGCTGGCCCAGGCCTGGGTGGAAGGGTGTGTGCTCGCGTGAAACCAGGTGTGCAGGTGACGTCCACAGAATCTGGTTGTTGCTCCGTGAAGTTCGAACAAGGTGTGGCAAGAGGACCAGTCCCTGGGTTACAAGGATGAGCAGATGGGAGCTGAGCATGGACGTGGTGGGCAGTAGGCGAGCGAACAGATGTGCCCAGTGCCACCAAATAGCAGTGGGCCTGGGCATGCTGGCAAGCTGGAGTTTGTGAGGGAGGGCACGTGGCACCTTAGGTGTGTGGAGTGGAGGCTGCAGGCCCTGGGCAGGGTAGCGGAGGCTGGTGCTGAAGACCTGGGGCCCTGGCGTCACGTGTGGAGTGGGAAGGCCTTCGGGGTCCAGATCCCATCTCTGCCCGTTCATGGCTCTGTGACCTTGGGCTGTTTTTTTAAGTCTGGGTTTCTGTGTTTTCATGTATAAAAAGCGGTGAATCAGCCAGGCACAGTGGCTCACGCTAGTACTCCTAGCACTTTCGAAGGCCAAGATGGGAGGAGGATCCCTTGAGCCCAGGGGTTCAAGACAAGCACAAGCAACATAGTGAAACTCCATCTCTACATGATTAAAACTTAAAAAATTAGCTGAGCTTGGTGGCGCGCACTGTAGTCCCAATGAGTTGGAAGGCCACAGTGGAATGATCACTTGAGCCTAAAAGGTCAGAGCTGAAGTGAGCCAACATTGCGCCACTGCACACCAGCCTGGGTGACAGTGAGACCCTGTCTCAAAAAAAGTGATGAGTGAATTTCCCTTTCCTGGGGTCACTGGGCATGTGAGGATAAAGTACACACCCTCCATAACCTGTCACGTTGGTGTTCCTCAGACACCGGGAAACGTTATCAGCCAGTAGTGAAGTTTCATCACCCCAGTGGGCTTGTGTGTGTCTACATATTGGGAGGGATGAGGGCCAGGTTGCTGTTTAACTGCAGGTTCTGAGTAGCAGAGTGGAGTTTGCAGGTGACAGCAGCATGATCTCAGGTCAGGTGTAACACGTGGCTGAGGAGAGGGGCCGTTCAGAGACTGGGGAGGGGAGAGGTAGTCAGTTCATTGTTCGGGTGTGAGACAAGAGGGTATGTTTATAAACACTGTCAATATACCGGCCCCCGCCACATGTGGCTGTGTACATTTAAATTCATCGTGCCTGGCACGGTGGCTCATGCCTGTAATCCCAGCACTTTGGGAGGCCGAGGCAGGTGGATCACAAGGTCAAGAGATCGAGACCATCCTGGTCAACAAGGTGAAACCCCGTCTCTACTAAAAATACAAAAAATTAGCTGGGCATGGTGGTGCGCACCTGTAGTCCCAGCTACTCGGGAGGATGAGGCAGGAGAATTGCTTGAACCCAGAAGGCGGAGGTTGTGGTGAGCCAAGATGGTGCCATTGCACTCCAGTCTGGGTGTTGACAGCAAAACTCTGTCTCAAATAAATAAATAAATAAATTCATCAAAAGTAAGTAAAGTTTCAAATTCAGTTCCTTGGTCATATTTCAAGTGCTCAGTAGCCACAGGTGGCTGGTGGTTAGCGAGAGGGCTGGGTGGAGACCTCTTCACTCAGGAGCGTCTGGAAGCCAACCTCAGCCGGGCTGCATCCTCCCTGCAGGAGGAGTAACCTTGTGTGCTTGATCCTTGCAGGTGGAGCTGGAGGTCACGCTCCCGGGAGAAGGCAAGGATCGCATCTTCAAGGTGTCCATCAAGTGGGTGTCCTGCGTGAGCTTGCAGGCGTTACACGATGCACTTTCAGGACGGCTGCCCAGTGTCCCTTTCGAGACGATCCAGGCCCTGGACGTGGTCATGAGGCACTTGCCGTCCATGAGGTGAGGGCGCCACACGGGGACAAGGGTGGGGGATGTCTCCTGCAGCTCCAAGGGCCCCCCCACGGTCTGAAAGCTGTGCAGGGAACGGCTCATTCTTGGAATCAGGGTGGGAGTGGTCACCTAGGTTTTCTGTGATGAAGATAACATATGGTGCTAACGTGGAAACAATGTTAATACAAAAATAAATCGGATGAGTGCGGTGGCTCACGCCTGTAATCCCAGCACTTTGGGAGGCCGAGGCAGGCAGATCACGAGGTCAAGAGATCAAGACAAGCTTGGCCAACATAGCGAAACCCCGTCTCTACTAAAAATACAAAAATTAGCCGGACGTGGTGGCACAAGCCTGTAATCCCCCAGCTACTTGGGAGGCTGAGGCAGGAGAATTGCTTGAACTTGGGAGGCAGAGGTTGCAGTGAGCCGAGATTGTGCCACTGCACTCCAGCCTGACGACAGACTATACGACTCTGTCAAATCAATCAGTCAATCACCAGCACTGTCGGCCTGGCCAGAAAGTGGCCTCCCTGTGTGTTTGCCCATTCATGCTCCACAGCCCTCTGTGCTCAGCACTTCTCTGCTCCTCTCTTGTACTTGCACCTGGGACTTGTGAAAGAATAATGCTGTGTTCCCAGTTTTGTGCCACATGCACGTCCACAACCCTAGGTACCATCACCGCTGCTTTTTGTGACTGTTAGGGACTTCTTTATTCTCTAGATTGCTCGATTACCACAAATTGCCACACGTGAGATTGCTGGGAGAGGGCGTAGGGGAGCAGTTTCGGGGCTCACGGTCCACCCAGTTGCTGGGCAGAGGGTTGCGCTAATTTCCTGAGTGACCCGCTGTTGGAGGAGCAAGGCCAGCTCCGCACGCCAGCCCCAGGTTCCTGCCCCGGACACCTGCCCTCACACTGGTACTTGGGCACAAGTGGAATGTTCAAGTTTGGTTTCTTTTCAACTAAAGCCTAAAACGAAACAAGCTCCATGCTGACAAACCCCAGGACTGACCAAAGCGTTAAGTTTCCAGGAGAGGGTTGGGGCTTCCTTCGTATAAGAGGAGGTGCCTTGAGGCCATGTGTGAGATTTTTGGAAGGGACCTTGGTGTTCTCAATCTGCAGGCATGGGAGGAGGTGACCAAATACAGGCCAGACTGTCACTCCCGGCGGGACACATCTTCCCCCTGTGTAACTGTCTGCTTTGAACTATCGACAGAGGACGGTCGGTGTGTACGGAGACAGTCTAGAAGGATGGTTGCCAAAATGGCCTCTATTTTTTTAATTGACGGCAGAAGTTGCTGTGGTTCTTTTCTGAATTCCTTTGGATTACTTGCATGAATTTTATGATCAGGGAGGAAAGTGCTGTTTTCATTTTTGGAAAACGCGCAGTAGAGGCGGGATTGTGAACACGTCTCAGGTGGAAGGTAAAGGGCCATGTGGGTGGTGGATCAACGCCCCCCACAGGCGGGGAGCATCACGGCTCTCAGCGGGTTTTCCCTGCAGAATCATTAGTGATGGCGCCTCCTGGGCTACCAGACCCCACATGTCCATCCGTGCGGCGGGTGAGGCTGCTGTGCTGGAGAATGTGTCTGCTTTGGTGGAGTGGCTCTAGCCGGGTCAGCACAGCGTCCCTAGCAGGCCTGAAGGGGTTGTGACGCCCTCATGCTGGCCCTGCCACCTCCTGCGGGGGAGCCCCCAGTGGGCGGGTCCTGGACCTTGGAACCTGGCTGGGGAGCCCTCCTCTAAGGGAGCTGGCGGCTGCTGGGGCATGCGTGGACAGCCACATGGCTGGGGCTGGGGCTGGCACTTGGCAGGTGCCCACTTCTATCTGCGCTTGGAGGCGCAGGCCCTGTGAGGGGAAGAGTAGATAGTGGGCACCATAAAGCAGGGTGAGGCCAGGACAGAAACATGCCGGGTCCTGGGGGTTCATATTCCACCTATGCTGTGCATTTAAGCAAATGTTTTTTGCCGTCTCCCAGCAAGGCCATGGGTCCCACACAGCAGGCTGTGCACACAGGCTGGAGTGCTGCACGGTAAACGCAGTTTTAGAAGGAGGGGAAATGGAACTCCGACGAGGATGTGGTGGGCGCAGGCGAAGCCCAGCCAGAGGCAGCTGTCCTTCTGGAAGCTGATCTGACAGGAGGTGGGGTGGGGTCTCTCCATTCCAGGTACACCCCTGTGGGCCGCTCCTTCTTCACCGCATCTGAAGGCTGCTCCAACCCTCTTGGCGGGGGCCGAGAAGTGTGGTTTGGCTTCCATCAGTCTGTCCGGCCTTCTCTCTGGAAAATGATGCTGAATATTGATGGTGAGCAGCGCCCTGGGGTCTTCACTGCAGGGCAGGGCTGGGCATGGGCTGGGGGTCAGGACCCTGGGTGGCCATGTGGCCTCTCTCAGAGCCAGTGCTGCCGCGTGACCCCTGGCCCATCTCACCTGCGGTAGTGGGTGGGTTAGGGCAGAGGCTCTCAGGCGAGCGTGGAGCCACCAGGAGGGCCCAGCCTAAGGAGCTGCGCTCGGGAGCTGAGGTGGGCTTGAGCATCCGGGGTTCCTTCCTGCTGGCCTCCGGTAGGCCTGGGTTCGACTGTAGCCCAGGTGTGGCCTGACCCTGTTGGGAGACTTAGTCACTGCTCTATGCAGGACACCCGCTGTCCTCCCTGTGAAAAAGACGAGAGTGAAGTCCAGCAAAAAGGATCAGTCTTCTCATATGGGAGTTGATTATTATGAAAAGCTTTAGAAAGGAATGAGAATTTGATCTTGCTCAGTTACACATTTCTTAAAATATAATTATATAAAAGAGAATGATGAATTTCAGAAATATCTGCGCCAGAAGATAATCAGAAAATCCTACAACACTCTATTCTCAGCGGGTGGCTTAGGCTTCAGAACTAGCTGGCTCCTTTCTGTTGCCCTGACCAGAGAAAGGCTCAGTGGCTTGAGCCCAGGTTTCTCACTGCTGGCCTGCCCATTTCTGGGCCCAAGGGTGGCTTCAGTAGAGAGTGAGCACCCCGGCCGAGTGTCCCCACCGTGGCTGGCTCGGCCTGTGAGGCACCTCCAGGACTCTGGGCCAGCCCAGCAGCCCGGAGATCACACCCAGCAGCCCGGAGGTCACGACCAGCAGCCCCGCGGTCTTGCCCAGCAGCCCCTGGATCTCGCCCAGCAGCCCCGCGGTCACGCCTTGTCCTTCACCTCTTACTTTTCTCTCCTACAGTGTCGGCCACAGCGTTTTACAAGGCACAGCCAGTAATCGAGTTTGTTTGTGAAGTTTTGGATTTTAAAAGTATTGAAGAACAACAAAAACCTCTGACAGATTCCCAAAGGGTAAAGTTTACCAAAGAAATTAAAGGTAATGAACTGTCCCGGCACACCTGGCTAAGGGCTGGGAGGCCCCTTCTTGGTCTGTCTCCTGGACGGCGTTTTGCAGTGCTGGGTCCTATGCACATTTAGGGAGGTGGGGGTAGCAGACTGTCGCCATCAGATGAAGTAGCACAGAGATGAGTTAGACCCATTTCCAGGGCAGGAGTAGGGGTTTCTCAAATAAATGCAACCTCGTGGGGTGAGGACCAGGTGGGGAATTGGTCACGTCCGAGTCATGAGGTCAGGACTAGATACAGCAGTGTGGCTGTGACTGGCGTTTCTAACACTGGAACCGAGGATGCATTTCCTTTGTTTTCATTTAATCCTTCTGCAGCCCCAGCAGGTGTCTGCACCCGCTCTGCCTGCTTTCTGTTCTAAGAAACTCACATCTGGGGGTCTAGGACTTACCGGGTTCCTTCTGTCCATCAGCAGCAGAGTGGGGGCTACCACTGGCTCCACAAGCCCTACCTGCTGAACCTGTCCTTTCCGAAGGCCATTTGCAGGGCCATCCACAGTACCCCGGGAGGATGTCCCAGGGAGGACAGCTAACCCAGTGACCCATGGGGGGCTCCGAACAGCACGAGGGTGGACACCCCATGCTGTAAGCTGAGCCTTTCCCTACCACGTGTACTCTTGTAGGTGAGATGGACCCAACTGGGTGGCCTGGGGGGTGACCTGTGGTTCATCCTTTCTAGGGGAGCCCTGCAGCCCTATGGAGCTCCCACAACTTGGGTCGGCAGCCACCTTCCTATAAAAATGGATTCTCGGGAAGTGGAGCTTGTGCTCAGGCTTGGGACAGCCTAGACCCTGATGCTGTGTTCTGTGTCCCCAGGTCTAAAGGTGGAGATAACGCACTGTGGGCAGATGAAGAGGAAGTACCGTGTCTGCAACGTCACCCGGCGGCCCGCCAGTCACCAAACGTAATGCACTCTTCCTTTCAGACTCTGTTGGCTGGGGTCCCTGCTGTCAATCCATTGGGCACACTTCGGAGCCATGATTCCCTGGAAAGGACCATTTCATTCTGTTTTTCAATCCCCAAAATTGTTCCTCACATAGCTCAGTAGGTTCCAAATTTCACCTAACAAAATAAACTCAGATCGTGAAATTTCACCTGGGTGCCGGGAGGGCAGGCCTGGGCGCTCTCTCCCTCTTCCTTCCTGAGCCTCACAGACGAGAGAAGAGTCTTCTGTGTTCTTTGTCCCATCCTGAGTGCTGAGGGTGGAGGGGCTGTGGCCCTGATGCACGCCCCTGTCCCTGGGCCAGCCTGTGTGTCCTGTCGTTATGGCTAGAGCACAGTTTGGTACCGAGGCTGGTGGAGGGATGAGTGCTGTCGGGTTGTACTGGTGTTCCTTTGTGAAGGGGACCATAGATTTGGCCCCAGTGCTCCACTTAATGTCTCCCAGGCCAGTAGGATTCATCCACTTCATGGATCATTCCATGTAAAGCGCCAGGCTTGTTGCCAGGCACCGGAGGCACCAAGATGCCCGTGGCTCAGGGAGCAGAGGGAGGAGACGGCCTGTAGCCTGGCCTGGCCCCCTCCCCCACCTGGCAGAGGCCACAGGTGGCTGGCCTGGCAGTCTGGACGGAGGGAAGGGGTTGGTATAGTGGAAACTGAGCCATGTGGTCCTTGCCCTGTGGCAGCTGCCCCATCCACTTGTCCCCACACAGAGGCCCACCCTTCCTGTGCCTGTAGGCCTCCCTGCACTTGCCCGTGCCGCACCCCACTGTCACCACTCAGAGGCCCTGGCTGCCAGAATAGGCATGGCCTGCCTTCCTCATCCTGTCCTGGGGGCTGCCGGCCCTCTGGGCACTGGGCGTGCGGCATGGAAATGGCCTCCAGGGTTACCATGCTCTCTGGAAGACGCACAGACCTTTCTTGACGGCTCTGTTCATCCTGACTCCTTGACACACACTGTGGTGTTGTGGGTAATTTATGATGATAGAGTAATGACGCATATAGGTAGTTTTTTATTTCCCAGCCCCAGAGACAAAATGCCCGGGAACATCCCAGATACCCCAGAGCACGTGATGCGTACTCATTCCTGGAAGTGCTCTGAACGTGTGCTCCTCACACCTCACCCTAAAAAGCAAATGATAGATGAAAAGCAGCGCCGGAACGGGGCCCGGGATGACCTCAGCCTGAAAGGCCCTTTGCTCCCCAGATTCCCGCTGCAGCAGGAGAGCGGGCAGACGGTGGAGTGCACGGTGGCCCAGTACTTCAAGGACAGGCACAAGCTGGTTCTGCGCTACCCCCACCTCCCATGTTTACAAGTCGGACAGGAGCAGAAACACACCTACCTTCCCCTGGAGGCAAGTCTTCCTCTCATGTGCACCTCTGTGGGGTTGGGAGGGCAGCCCAGGCTGGGGCATGCAGCTTCGAGAAACCGCCGCGGCCCCAGTCGGGTGCAAGTGGCCCCGCCTCTCCTGCTGTGGGAACTCGGGTGCGTTCATGAGCTCTGCTGCACCTCGGTTTTGCCTTCAGTAAAGTGGGGCGGGCAGCTCTCTGGAGGGTTGGCGTGAGCCTTGACTGAGAGTGTATGTGACGCTCCCGCAGGTCCCACAGGGGCTGCAGGTGCTCTGTCATCCATCACTGCACGGTTGCGTCACTCACTCTCTATCACAGCTGTTCCAAAAATCCTTGCCTCGGGAAAGGCTCAAACACCACTCTCCCCTGGGTGTATAGATTCTTGGCACTTGCCTGTCGCTCAGGCAGGGCTGGGTGGCTCCGGTGCCTTATCCCACAGGTAGACGTCCTTTGCACCTGTAGCCGCTTTCACACCTGTGGCCCTGAAGACTGGAGAGGGCCCAGAAGGGCCGGTGTAAAGACACAGCCCCGCTCGCCTAGTGGGCTGGCCACAGAGGCTGTGGGGTCCGTGGGGTCTGCGTGTTTGCCTGACGCTGGGTTTACTTAGCAGGTATTTCTGTTGTGAAGCAGAAGGCCATGGAGCAGGAGCCAGCCCAGCAGCGACCTGCCCAGCGCTTGACAGCCCAGGGATGAGGCAGAGACCGTCCCGGGCAGAGCCAGGCCACCAGCCCCTGAGCCCCCTGCCGGCTCCCCTGGTCACACCAGTGAGGCGCTGATGCCTGTCTCTGCGTCTTCTTTGCAGGTCTGTAACATAGTGGCAGGACAAAGATGCATTAAAAAGTTAACGGACAATCAGACCTCAACCATGATCAGAGCAACTGCAAGGTCGGCGCCTGATCGGCAAGAGGAGATTAGCAAGTTGGTGAGCGTCAGCCCCACGTGGGGCACCCCACGCCCTGAAGAGTCCAGTTCGGTTGCCCTGGCACAGAAACCCCTGATGCTTAGAATGGACGTGGCTGCTATAGAGAGTGGAGCCCCCCGCCCACTCCGTGCGTTTTCTTTCTTCCCTTTGCCAGATGCGAAGCGCGAGTTTCAACACAGATCCATACGTTCGTGAATTTGGAATCATGGTCAAAGATGAGATGACAGACGTGACTGGGCGGGTGCTGCAGCCGCCCTCCATCCTTTACGGGGGCCGGGTACGTGCAGGGCGTCGGGGTGTGTGGGGCTGCGGGGCCTGTGTCTGCCCGTGACCCCTCTGAGGTTCTGAGCCGTCACCCTCGGTGTAGACCATGTTGCAGTAGGAGAATCCTTTCTACTCCAGGCTGAGCCTGTAAAAAGCACGGGACTTAAAGGAATGACTTTCCTCAGACCTTTTTAAGGTTTTTCTGAATTATCCTTAATATTTTGAAAAGATAATTTGCATTAGCCCATGAAAGTTTAGAGAGCACCATTCTTTGTGTGATAGATGCTCATCAAGGATTGAATTACTTCCCAGAAGCCTGTGCCACTTTTCTATTCTCTAACTTTTGCTTTGGGGGTGTTTGGTAACAGTTTTTTGTCCTTACTAATTTAACTTCTAGGTTTTGTTGGGTTTTTTTTTGTTTTTTTTGAGGTGGAATTTCGCTCTTATTGCCCAGGCTGCAGTGCAGTAGCACGATCTCGGCTCACCGCAGCCTCTGCCTCCCAGGTTCAAGCAATTCTCCTGCCTCAGCATCCTGAGTAGCTGGGATTACAGGGATTCACCACCATGACTGGCTAATTTTTTTGTATTTTTAGTAGAGATGGGGTTTCTCCATGTTGGTCAAGCTGTTCTTGAACTCCCAACCTCAGGTGATCCACCTGCCTTGGCCTCCCAAAGTGCTGGGATTACAGACATGAGCCCTAGTTTGGTTTGTTTTGAGACAGGACCTTGCTCTGTCATTCAAGCTGGAATGTAGTGGCATGATCATAGCTCACTGCAGCCTCTAACTCCTGCAGTTCAAACAAACCTCTCGCCTAAGCCTCCCAAGTAGCTGGGAATACAGACAGGAACCACTGTGTCCAGCTCCTAACGTATACTTTTTATCAGTGTGTAACCAAAGGTGTCCTGGGCACTGAGCCCTTTGGGGTCTTCTCTCTTTTCCTCCTGGGCAGGCCCTTGTGTTCAAGCCCAGCATGTCTGGCTGGTGGGCAAGGCCCGGAGGTGACCACACTGGGAGGGACCCCAGGGCTCTGCAGGGCCTTCGTGTCAGATGTCACCGACTTTCTTAAGCACCTGGCATCCATGGGAGAGCCTGCCTGACTTTTCACACCCTAGTTTCTACCTAATGGAATTTTATTCTCACCCTCAAGACCCATAGCAAGGTTTTGGGGTTTGATTGCTTGTTTTTTCTCTCTTATTTTAAAACATAGTTCTGGGCTAGGCACGGTGGCTCACATCTGTAATCCCAGCACTGTGGGAGGTTGAGATGGGCGGATTGCTTGAGGTCAGGCATTTGAGAACTGCCTGGCCAACGTGATGAAACCCCATCTCTACTAAAAATACTAAACTTAGCTAGGCATGGTTTCTGCAATCCTGGCTATTCAGGAGGCTGAGGCAGGAGAATCGCTAGAACCTGGGAGGCAGAGGTTGCAGTGAGCCGAGACTGCACCACTGCACTGCAGCCTGGGTGACAGAGTGACACTCATCTCAAAAACAAAAAAGTAAAGTTCTGTTTTGGAAATGTTTCAGAATTCAGAAGATATAAAACAATTAGAGGAAAAGTCTCTTTTTCCCAGTTCTCTGTTGCCCTCTCAGGAAGCAATTGGTGTTATCTTTCTCCTTTGTAAAATCACCCAGGGATGAGTCACCGCTTTCTGTGAAAATAACAGCATTACCTATATTTCTGCACTTCGCTGTTTTCTAGCTAACCTTTTCTTAGAGCTCTCTCCGAGAGGCTGCTGCCGTTCTGTGTTGCTGTGCGTGTGTGTCTTGTCCTGGTCCTGTTGCTTGGAACCCCATCATGTGGGGGTCTGCGTCGCTGGAGGTGGCCACAGCCACTCCCCGTCTCTCCAAAGGGAGTCTGAGCAAGGCCCTTTAGCCCCTCCATGGCTCCAAATGCTGTATAAACACAGCCCAGGCCCAGGAGGAAGAGCGCACGATTCCCCATCACAAGTCAGGGAGGAGACGCCCGGGGAGGGTGAGAGGAGTGTGTGACACCTGTGGGGGATGGAGCTGTTGAACCCAGCACCACTTCACAGCTCTGCTGGCTTCTGTTCCCTTGGGCTCCTGCCTCTTAGCAAGGGCTGGTTGTCCGAAAAACAGAAGAGCTTGTGTAAGCCAACCTTGCAAAACTCTGAGTGTAGGAATTAAGAGAGTGTGTAGGTGGGGCGTGGTGGCTCACGCCTGTAATCTCAGCACTTTGGGAGGTCAAGGCGGGAGGATCACCTCAGGTTAAGAGTGCAAGACCAGCCTCTGATCAACATGGTGAAACTCCATCTCTACTAAAAAATACAAAAATTAGCTGGGCGTGGTGGCACACACCTGTAATCCCAGCTGCTTGGGAGGCTGAGGCAAGAGAATCACTTGAGCATGGGAGGTGGAGGTGACAGTGAGCTGAGATTGTACCACTCTACTCCAGCCTGGGCAACAGAGTGAGACTCTGTCTCAGAAAAAAAGAGAGTTTGTAATTTGTTTGAGACAGTTTTGTTCTGTTGCCCTGGCTGCAGTGCAGTGGTGCGATCATAGCTCACTACAGCCTTGACCTTCCAGGCTCAAGAGATCCTCCGGCCTCAGCCTCTCAAATTGCTGGGACCACAGGGGCACCACCACACCCAGCTAGGTTTTCAATGTTTTATAGCGACAGGGACTATGTTACTCAGGCTGGTCTTGAACTCCTGGGTTTAGGCAGTCCTGCCACCTCAGCTGGGATTACAGACGTGAGCCGCCGCACTTGACTGAGCTTGTAATGCTTCTGTTAATGCATGAATGCATTCTTCCAGACTTCTAAAACATTTTAATAGGAGGAAACACTTCTGGCCCCTACCCTGCCTACCCCCTGGTCCATTGTGAGTGCAAAAACCCAAAGTATCCTTCAGAAAGCATAGTACACAGCAGGAGTTCTTGACCGGGGATGGTTTTGCCCCCCACGGACATCTGGCAGTGTCTGGAGATGGTTTTTTTTGGTCACAACTTAGGGGTGGGTACGGTAGCCTATAGGGCACAGGACAGCCCAGGACAAAGTATCACCAAGCTTCAAATGTCAATTGTGCCAAGGTTGAGAAGCACCTGAGAGTAAGAGCCTGTGTTTGCACATGTGTGTGCCTGTGTGTGTCTGTGTGTTTACTCCCCATCTGGAGCCCTGGCTGTCTGTGAGACTCTTGCGCACAGGGAGGCTGGTGGGAATGGGCAGTAGCTGTAAAATATAGGAAACAAAGCATTTATTTCTATCACATGTCTGATTTCTACAGCAGGCTTGTATTGTGTAAGAAAAATGTTTTCTGCTAAAAAAACAAAAACCTCTACAGAGTAAATGATGGCGACTCAGGGGCAGCCACATCCTTTAGCGATGCCCCCAGGCCTAGGAGTGCCTATCCCTCCCACTCGGGACCCTTCCTGGCCCACCCTTTTCTTGAGAATCACTTGAAGTCAGTTCAGAGATTCCTTGGTGACGGGGCTTGGGGCTGGTCCTTTCTGGTTAAGAGCTGACAGCATATTTGCACGGCTCATGTTTCTCTTCTCAAGTGGCAGTAGCTCCCATTTCCAAAACAGCTGCGGGCAATGGCATGCTGAGTGGAAAAAGCTGTGGACTCCCTCCTAGCTCTCCTCTCCCCTTTCCACGTCACTGATGATAGAGGAGGGGAAGTGATGGAAAGCGTGGTCTAGAACAGGAGGCCTTCCTGTAGCATGCAAGCCACCTCTGTTCCTCCAGGCTACTCATGAGGTTGGATGGAGCTTTGGGTCTCCCTCCTCCTGCCTTAGCCCCCATCTGTCTGTTCATTACTTACCCATCCATCCTCCATCTGACTCTGTCTACTACCCACCCGATCGTCCATCCATCTGCCCACCCAGCCACCCACCTTATCCACCCATCAACTACCCACCCACCCACCTTATACACCCATCAACCATCCACCCACCTTAGACACTCATCAGCCACCCACTCACCCACCTTATCCACCCATCACCCACCCGCCTTATCCACCCATCACCCACCCACCCGCCCAGCCCCCTCCACCGGCCCATGCATCTAACCCTCCTCCCGGTTGTCTGCATCACTAGGCAGGTCAGAGACAGGAAACAAGAAAGTTCTTTACCTGAGGAGCTGTTGTTGGTCAGGGGGGCCAACAATGAGAGTGCCAAAGTCTAAGGTTAAAGGAATATGTCTTCCACTTTTTCTCACCTGAACTTTTTGCCATTTGCAGAATAAAGCGATTGCGACCCCTGTCCAGGGCGTCTGGGACATGCGGAACAAGCAGTTCCACACGGGCATCGAGATCAAGGTGTGGGCCATCGCATGCTTCGCCCCCCAGCGCCAGTGCACAGAAGTCCATCTGAAGTAAGGCCGCCACAGGCAGGGGCGCCGGCCTGGGTCCTGCCCGATGGGCAGCTGGAGGGAACACTTGCAGGACTGACTGTGGGTGGGGCGGGGTGAGGGCGCTGGCATGGGTTTTGATGTCAGGGTTCATCAGCCTTTCCCTGTCAAAGACCGTTGGCTGGGCCACGGCAAGACACGCAGGCCCCATCAGTGCCTCTCTCGCTGCTGGGACCCACCCTTGCAGTTAGCATCGAGTAGTGCAGACCGTAGACAGAACCAAGCAGGATATGGCCGGGCGCGGTGGCTCATGCCTGAAATCCAGCACTTTGGGAGGCCAAGGTGGGCGGATCATGAAGTCGACTTCAAGACCAGCCTGGCCAATATGGTGAAACCTCATCTCTACTAAAAATACAAAAATTAGCCAGCTGTGGTGGTGGACGCCTATACTCCCTATACAGGTACTCAGGAGGCTGAAGGAGGAATCGCCTGAACCCAGGAGGTGGAGGTGGCAGTGAGCCGAGATCACGCCACTGTACTCCAGCCTGGGCGACAGAGTGAGACTCCATCTCAAAAAAAAACCAAACAGGTTGTGAGGAAGTTTGTAAGTAAGGGCAAAAGAAAAAATTAGGTTCAATGAACTACAGTTATTTTAAAAAATAATTTAGCTCCATATTTGTGTAAATTAAGTTAGAAGGAGAAAACGAAGACCGAATCAGAGAGAGATGGGCTGGGCACAGTGGCTCACGCCTGTAATCCCCAGCACTTTGGGAAGCTGAGGCAGGAGGATCACTTGCAGTCAGGAGTTTGAGACCAGCCCATCTCTACAAAAATTATAAAAATTAGCCGGGTGTGGTGGCACATGCCTGTAGTCCCAGTTACTTGGGGCCCTGAGGCTGGAGAATCACTTGAAGCTGGGAGGCAGAGGTTGCAGTGAACCAAGATCACGCCACTGCACTCCAGCCTGGGTAAAAAAGTGAGACTCCATCTCAGGAAAAATAATCAGGAAAAGATGGTGAAATAGAGAGGTGGAAAGGCTGGGAGGATTATCTTCCTTCCCATGCAAGGGGAGTAATGAAAATAAGAGAGAAGTTTTGGTTTGTGTCTCTGCCACTTGCCCAAGTGAGCGCCGGGCCCTCTAGGAAGCCCGAGTGCCATGGTAGCGCCTACCCCTCAGCCGGGACCCTTGCCTTGGTCAGCAGAGCTGTGCCAGGGATGGGCCCAGCCAGATCTGGTGTCGAAAGCACACAGTAGTGTGGCTTGTGCCTTTGTGCCAGGCTTCAAAGGAAACAAAGTGTTTGCCCCCCACTCTGCGGGGGCAACAGGGGAGAACACCTGCCTGGGAGGTGTAGCGGGTACCTTGGCCGTTCCAGCAAGGGCGGGCCTGGCTCTTGGAGCTGATGTCTTGCTGGCAAGTGGCTATCTATCCTTCTGAGGCCACCTTGTGTCCACACTGCCGGCAGACGAGCTGGAAGCCCAGAGAGGAGGTCTGGAAAACAAACTGAAGTAGGTGAGAGTCTGAACACGGGGGTCGCTTTCTGCCCTGTCTTCTGTCCTTGACCCCTTCCTTCGCTCTGTCCTGGAGCTGAAGGTACGGGTGGACACACACATCGTTCTTGACCTGCTGTATAATGTACAGGAAATTGGACACTGGCTGGGTTGGAGTGCTGTGTCCTCGCCCTTATTGTAGAAGGTGACATGATTCTTAGTCTTCGGCTTAAAATAGAAGCCGCTGCCCTGCCTCCCGCCCCGCCCTAGCTTCTCAAGGCCCCTGCGGCCAGCTGCTGCCTCTCCTCGGGCTGTGCCGCAGGCTGTTGTGTTTTTCTCCTGATGACGTCACGCAGTCCAACTGGGGGAAGGATGTCAAAGGACGGTGAGCTGGAAACCTCCCTCGCTCTGATGGTGCCTGCCCTGTGTGTGGGGAGAGTGCTGGCCTCCTTCACCGGAGCTCTCGGGGCTGCTCAGCAGCTCTCCAGGGACAGCATGGCATCTCCACAGCCACGAGGCAGCGTCAGCACGGTGTCAAGGCCGCTGTTACCGTGGCGGGTTAGCCACACGTGACTTTCGAGTATGCTTACACGTCTGTTGAGCACACTTCACCTTTCTCATGAGTTAGTATGTTCAGGAGACGTAGCTCTGAATTCTGGCTCTGTCTGGGACTTGAAGAAAAGCTTTGAGCTCAGTAACAGTGCTTTGGGCTTCGTAAAAATGCTGGCCTTGCTTGAGGGCCTCTGGTCCATCTGAGTTCTCTGCCATTCCCAGTGCATTGCAGCCAACTGAGCCTTCTCCTCCAGGTCCTTCACAGAGCAGCTCAGAAAGATCTCGCGGGATGCCGGCATGCCCATCCAGGGCCAGCCATGCTTTTGCAAATACGCGCAGGGGGCGGACAGCGTGGAGCCCATGTTCCGGCACCTGAAGAACACGTACGCAGGCCTGCAGCTGGTGGTGGTCATTCTGCCCGGCAAGACGCCGGTATACGGTAGGTGTGGGCGCTCCTGCTGGCTATGGGGAGAGGTCGTGGTCTCTGTGGGTGTTTGTTCCTTCCACAGCCCCTCCGTGTTTCTGCTGCACTGAGAAGGTGCTCCTTTCAGGAGGCTGAGAAAGAAGAGGTGGCTTCTCATCACTGCCACATCTGTGTTCAGGGCCTTTCCATTGTCCTGTGCGACGCCATGGTCCTGGGCAGCCAGCAGCCTCAGGTGGCACCGGCCTCGGCACCTGTGTGGGCAGCACGTCCGCCACACCATGTGTGTCAGCTGGATGCAGGCACGTTTGTTTCATGCGCAGAGCATAACACTAGGGTCAGCTCCTTGCCCATGTGTCATCTCTGTGCCCACCACAGAATTTTGTGGAGTTTTGCCAAAGTCCTTCGTGCCAGGGGGTCACCCACAGGGCCCCACATCCAGCCACGGACACATTATTGACACGTAAAAGCCATACTTCTCTCCTCCAAGTTCAACATCCCAAAAAAAGAAGGAAAGATAGAGCTGTTGTTGTTGACATCCTGGTGACATTGTCCAGGGAGTCGCTGTTTCCCAGGCTGCCCAGTGAGCAGCTGACCAGTTGCTTCATGAAAGAGGCCAGGAATAGCTGGGGCGTGGGGGGAGCCATGGAGCTCTTTGATGTCAGGTTTACATCTGCCAAGGATTTTGAGGGTGCCAGTGTTTTTATTTTTAACCACCCAGCATTTGCTTGCAGCCAGGGCACCGTGGTGTGAGTGGCCTTCCTTTTTTTTGTTTTTCTTTTTTTTTAAATTGAGACAAGGGCTGGCTGTTTCCTAGCCTGGAGTACAGTGGTGTGATTTTGGCTCACTGCAGCCTCCGCCTCCTGTGTTCAAGTGATTCTCCCGGCTCAACCTCCCAAGTAGCTGGGATTACAGGCACATGCCACCATGTCTGGCTAATTTTTGTTTTATTAGAAGAGACGGGGTCTCAAATTCCTGGCCCCAGGTGATCTGCCTGCCTCAGCCTCTCAGAGTGCTGGGATTACAGGCATAAGCCATCACGCCTGGCCAGTGTGAGTGGCCTTCCTAGGTCCTTCCTTGTAGCTGGGCTCTTTCTCTCTTGCTCTGGGGCCCTGGATTAGGAGTTTAAATGGTTTTGTTTCATAAACTGCAGGGATGAGTTCGACTCACCCAGCTTCCCTTCCTGAGGGAGGAGGGGAAGCCTGGCCTGAGCGAGGTGGGCACGGCCGTGCTGGAGCCTGGACTCCAAGGAGCACAGGGTCCCTCTCGGGGCCAGTGACCCTCTTCTGTTGCTGACCTTGGACAGAGGGGGACACACAAAGCCCAGCACAGTTGCTGTGGTTGCACTGCCAGATGGGGGTGAGAGGGCTGGTGGCAGCTGCCATGCTCGCGGCCAGATGAGGAAGGGGCATCAGCAGAGCTGTGTGTGTGCCTCTTGTGTCCCTTAGCCGAGGTCAAGCGTGTGGGAGACACAGTACTGGGGATGGCCACACAGTGTGTGCAGATGAAGAATGTGCAGAGGACCACGCCACAGACCCTGTCCAACCTCTGTCTGAAGATCAACGTCAAGCTGGGAGGCGTGAACAACATCCTGCTGCCCCAGGGCAGGTGAGGCCCGGAGCCTTCCCGTCCACCTGCAGAGCAGGCACCGTGGGACTCCTGGCTGGGTGGGGTGCGGTGTGCAGCGGGGCAGGGTTCCTTCACCTGGGCCAGCGCTGTCCTGACCACAGCAGAGAAAAGATACCTGACATAGATCTGGCTGCTCACGCTCTGCTAGAGGCCAGGGGCATCTGCAGGAGCTTGAGCACTGTGGCTGGGTTTCCAGGCACAGAAATTCACCCCTCGAATGCCAGTGGGCAAGGCAGAGCAGGGCATGCCTCAAGGGACCAGGAGATGGGCTTCCCACTCCATAGCAGTAACTGCTGTGTGGACCAGGGACCCCCATGCTTCCCACACTAGGCTGGGCATGGATGCTGCAACCATGGATGGATGGATGCTGGGACTTTGGACTGAAAGCTCCTCATGGGACACACTGTTGTTGGCAGCTCCCAGGCCAGGGCAGGACGTGTGGCCACCTGCCTGCCTCAGAGGCTCAGGGCTGACGGTGTGGGGAGTGATGGAGCTGCACCCTCTTGGGCACCTCCTGACCCACTAAGCATCCAGTCCGGGGGGGGCCGGGGCTTGCTTCTTCCCCTCCTCTGAGGCCACCAACCTGTGATATAGGCGAGAAAGACGTCTCCATGATGACCAGCATCTTTACCAATCCTGGCAGTTGTCTTACCATTTGGATGACAACAATAGAGAATACGTAGAATCAGATAACATGTGCATTTGTGCAGAAGGGAACCATGGAGGCTGTGGGCAGCCCCTGTGGCGTGGACCTGCTGGAGCTCGCAGTCACAGTGGGGCTCATGTGAGAAAGCCATCCTAAGCCAGTCAGGGCGCTAAATCCGCTTCGCTCTCACCATCACAGAGTTAAGAATCCTAAAGTGAACTGCCTTAAGGCAATGACCCTCTGTATTTGGCAAGTGGGCGGTAGTGAGCCCCTGCTGTGTGCTGGGTCACAGTGTCCTCACACCGGAACCCCAGCGGGGCTCATTGCCAGAGTGTCCTACTCAGCAGGACTGATCGGGGTCAGGAATTTCCACCCCTAGCAAGTGGACACGCAGTGCCGATGCTGCTGCACGCGGGTCCAGGCTTTGAGGGCCACCGAGTTACACACTCCCGGAAACAGTCCGTTGAATTCATCAGGGAGCAGGGTGATACCGTGGGAAGAACCCCGATTCCAAGTCGGATGGCTGTGGGCGTGGGCACAGGCCCTGCGGTGAGACAGTTTCGTGGGAATGAGCGAAGACCAATCCGGAGCTGCCTGGGAACTGAAAGTGCTGCTCCTTAGTCCACAGGTTCTGTATTTATTGAGTGCCTGCTGTGTGCAGGGAGTCTGGGCCATAATTGGGCAGCACAGGGCCAGAAATCCTGGTGGAGGCACCCAGGTGAGATGATCATGAGCCTATCACACAGGCGGCAGGTGCACAGCAGAGCTGTGGGAGGGCCGTGAGGGCAAATGGGAGACAGGCCCGCCCATGTGCAGCCCGGGGGCCACTGGGGAACTAAGTCTCCCTCCAGTCCGCTGGGGCCGTCCGGAGGCACCTGTCTAACAGTGTGGCCAGCTCTGGCTCCATGTAGCTGAGAGGGGCTGGTGGCCTGGCCAGGCCAGAGCAGGGGGACAGGGGAGGGAGCACCTGGACTCTGAGCTGTTTTGAAGAGAGAGCCCCAGGGCTTTCTGGCAGGTTGGATTGGGCTGTGCCTGAAGGAAAAATCTAGGCTCTTGGCCTGGACTGCAGGAGAGACTCCGTCGGCATTAGACAGAGCGGCTGTTGGGAGGGTGAGCACCAGACGTGGGTAAACTGGACCCCGAGGGCTCTGCGGAGCATCTGAGCGCAGATGATGAGTGGACATTGGGAACCAGGAGGCTGGCGTCAGGGGAGACAGGATCCAAGAATCCTCAAGCAGACAGGTGGTACTCCAAGCCCTGGGCCTTGGAGAAGGCTGGAGTTCAAGGCCTGGAGTGGGAGGAACCAGCAGCGGAGATGGGAGAGGCTGGGGTGGGGAGGCCAGGCGAAGGGCCCTAGGCACCAAAGGAAGTGTGTCCTGTGTCCAGCCAGACGCAGCGAGGCTGGAGGTATGGCCGTGGGTCTGTGTGATGCTGAGGTCACTGGTGACCTTGGGAAGAGGAGCCTTGTTGCCGTGGCCAAGGGCACGTCTGACTAGCAGGGGCCTGGGAGCCAGCGTGAGCAGTGATGAGTTTGGCTGACTCAGGGAGCTCTGCTGGAGAGTGTGGGCGGGTAGTGAGTCACAAGCACGTGGGGACATGGATGCCTGGAGAGGGCAGCAGAGGCGAGGGCTCCCGTGTGCCATTTCCAACAGGCAGGGCTGGCAGAGCGGCCACTTCTGATGCTTCCTGACGTTGCCTGCAGCGCCCAGGCAAGGTTGGGTGGGGTGCAAGGCAGTGCACTCTCAACCCGGCAGCAGTGCCCAGAGGGAGGGGCTGTCAGCCTTGGCCTTTCCCCAGAGAGCCCGAGGCCCATGTGCCTGTCCCTGCTTCCTCGCCAGTTGCCTCCCGAGGAAGCCTCCACTGGGATACACTCAGGGTCTGAAAGTTCTCCGTGGGGTAGTTTTGCTGCCAGGGGTATGTGGTAATGTCTGAAGACACACTGGGGTGTCAGGCTGGAAGGGGTGCTGGTGGACTCCGGTGGGTGGACGCCAGGCCTGCCACTCAAGATCCGTCCAGGCTCAGGACAGCCCCCACCCAACAAAGAGCCAGCAGGCCCGGGAGGTTGGTGAGAAAGCCTGGCATGGGTGTGGCTGTGGAGGGTGGAGGGTGAGCACTCCCTGGCCTGAGCGGCATCTCCGTAGCTGTCAGCCCCTGGCCCCTCTGGTCTGGGGTGCACTCCACCCAAGCCCCAACCTCCGGCCATTCTGAAGCAGGTTTCAGACCTTGTATCATTTAATCTGCAAGGTTTTCGGCATTCCTATTAAAAGATAAGGATTCTTTTCAAAAGGATTACCTTGACACACTGACCACCTCCAAAACGGGACAATGGCACCTCCTAGGGTGAGAGGTTCAGGCGTGTCTCACCGTGGCCCCTGACACTACTCCTCTCCGCAGGCCACCGGTGTTCCAGCAGCCCGTCATCTTTCTGGGAGCGGACGTCACTCACCCGCCCGCCGGGGATGGGAAGAAGCCCTCCATTGCCGCCGTGAGTGTCAGCACTTTCCCACGGGTCTCTTATTGATGACATTCGGGACCCTGTCAAGGTCCTGCTGCCACGGCGTGGCCAGGGTTCCTTCCTGAGAGGCATGGGGTTTCACTAAGCTGTGGGATGGAGGCCAGGGTAGTGTGGGAGAGAGGTGTTTGGAGGGGATACTACAATGACACAAAATAAGAAGCAGCCAGAGGGCAGGCACGGGGGCTCACGCCTGTGATCCCAGCCCTCGGGGAGGTCTGAGGTACAAGGATTGCCCCTTGCACATGGGGGCCTGACTGGCCACGGGTAGCCTAGGGTGTGATGACCCTGCACCCCCAGGGTATGAAAACTCTGTCTAGGGACACAGCCCCAAACCTCAGCCGGGCCAGAGCTGCATCTGTTTTCCTTCTGTTGCTCTTGCGCAGTGAGCATATTGCTTCAGAACTTTCTTGGGTGAAAAATGAGGAAACAAATTTTGACCTCATGGGAGTATTAGGAAATGATGGAGTTGAGTGCCTGGCACGTAGTAGATGCTCAGAAAATGCTCACATCCAGCCTGGGCAACACGATGAACCCCCATCTCTACAAAAGTAGCTGGAGGTGGTGGCGTGCCTGCGGTCCCTGCTACCTCGGAGGCTGAGGTGGGAGGAGCCAGAGCCCAGGAGATTGAGGCTGCAGCAAGATGAGATCAGGCCGCTTGCACTCCAGCCTGGCCAACAGAGTGAGATTTTGTCTCAAAAGAAAACAAACGCTGAAAGAGAAAAAGAAAATGCTAGCCTGATTATTTCATTAGTTGGGAGGGAATATGGAGCAGGAGAATCTATCTGGGACACAGGGAAGCCATTCGAGCTGCCCAGGTAGGAAAAAACCAGCATATGATCCACTCTCTGGAGTTACCCAGGCACACTTCCATTAGGAAGCTGACATCGTGCCAGCTAATTCCTGCCGCTTGGCCCGATCCTCACAACTCCACCACACCCGTGCTTACGGTGCTGCTCACTTTGCTGAGGTGTTTTTTTGTTTTGTTATTTCGGTTGTCTTTTTTGAGACAGAATAACTGTCGCCCAGGCTGGAGTGCAGTGGTGCCATCTTGGCTCACTGCAACCTCTGCCTCCTAGGTTCAAGCAGTTCTCCTGCCTCAGCCTCCTGAGTAGCTGAGACTACAGCCACCCGCCACCGTGGCCAGCTAATTTTTGTATTTTTTCAAGACCATGTTGACCAGGCTGGCCTCGAACTCCTCACCTCAGGTGATCCACCCACCTCCACATCCCAAAGTACTGGAATGACAGTTACGAGCCGCCGAACCTGCCCATGCAGAGTCGTTTTCAGCCCTTTCCTCTGACGGCGAAGCACCACATGGCCGTCACTGAGGCACAGCAGGGCACCAGTTGCCTGGGAGGGAGCCCCGAGGGTCCTATAGCTGGGGAAAGCTCGCAGCACAGCAGGCTGGACCTCTCCCCTGTCCCTGCCTCACCTGGTCCCCGTTAGCTTTTTTTCTGCACAAATGTTGTGAAGTGTTCAACCATATCTCAGGCTTTTGGAGCCTCAGATTGTTTTTTCAAGTTTTCAGGAACAGAGAAAGCTGCATGTTTATCCCCTATCCCCACACTTCTCAATCAATAGGAACAGATTTCTGTTTATGTTAATGTATTTCTGTTTATACCAACTGGAAACATTTCAGAGCTTATTTATTTTTCTCTTGGTTTAAGAGAAAAATTATAGCCAAAGGCAGGACAAAGGACGTGGAATAGTGGAAGAATTAACTGGGAGAGAACTTGTTCTGTAAGGATTTATGAAGGAGGAGGCAGATTGCCAAGAAGCAGTTCCTATTTTTTAGTGACATGAGAGGTTTTATTTCCATCAGTGTTTTTCAAAATTTAAGGACCTCACCTTCCCCAGCCGGAAGCTGGAGCAGCACTTGGGGATTTCCCTGGTTCCCTCCATGGGCTGGGCCACCTCATCCTCACACTCCTCTGCCTGACAGAAGACCCCGTGCTGGGCTCACTCAGTCTGCCCTCTTTGTGGCCGTGGCACTTCAGTGGCTGCTGGCCTGGCTGGTGTGCCTTTGGGGTGCTGCACATTGATGTGCTTGTAGTTTAGGGGCACCCCCACCCATTGTCTTCTTTGGACTGATGAATTCAGTCACATCTGATCCCAAGCAGAGGAGAGTTCTAATCTGTTCTTTTGTTTTTGAGACAGAGTCTCACTGTGTCGCCCAGGCTAGAGTGCTGTGGCATGATCTTGGCTCACCGCAACCTCCACCTCCTGGGTTCAAGCAATTCTCCTTACTCAGACCCCTGAGTAGCCGGGCCTGGCCAATTTTTGTATTTTTAGTAGAGATGGGGTTTTCACCATCTTGGCCAGGCTGGTCTCAAACTCCTGACCTCAGGTGATCCGCCCACCTTGGCCTCCACAGTGCTGGGATTACAGGTGTTAGCCACTGCACCCAGTCTTTTTTTTTTTTTTTAGCTATGTAACTTGGCAAACTGTTGTAATTTAGGACGTATTTATGAACCCTGTTGCGACGCTGAAAGCCTAAAGGCTGAATTCATACCAGCCAGCCATTGTCACTTGGCCATGACGTGAGTTCCAGGGTGGGGACACTTCTTGTCCCCATCTTCCCGGGAGTCCAGGATAGGAAAGTTTTGGGAACCCTTGACCATACTCACTGGCTGTTCCCGCAGGTGGTGGGCAGCATGGATGCCCACCCCAATCGCTACTGCGCCACCGTGCGCGTGCAGCAGCACCGGCAGGAGATCATTCAAGACCTGGCCGCCATGGTCCGTGAGCTCCTCATCCAGTTCTACAAGTCCACGCGCTTCAAGCCCACCCGCATTATCTTCTACCGCGACGGCGTCTCTGAGGGCCAGTTCCAGCAGGTAGGCGCCTCTTAGAACCTTTCCTCCCCTTCTCCAGGGTCTGTAATTCACCTGTTTGTACAGCAGAACTACACTGGGTAAGTGACAGGAATGGTGTGGCTTTCATTTGGCCCCAAGGCTGATATGGTCACAGCATGGAAGGGGGTCTGGGGAGGAGATGGGACACAGGGCTGTAGACCGTGACGTGATGCTGAGTCAGGACAGAAGGAGAGGAGGAGGGGCGGGTATGGGCTTGGGGACCCAGAGATGAGGGAGAGACGCTTGAGTCCAGCTGACTCTCAGAGTAGTGCTCCATCTGAGGGCTTCCTGAGAACCTGGCTTTGCCTTGCAGCCTGTAGAGAACTGTCGGGTATCTTTGTGAGGCAGGGAGCACGTCGTGTCTGGGATGCTGTCTGCAGTGTGAGAGGTGTGCAGGCAGGGCCGGGAGGAGGGGTTGGTGCCAGGCTTTATTGAAAGTAGCGTCCCCAACGTGGCGACTGTCTGGATGTGGAGAATGGCAGGGATGGCCTTAGTGGGTCACTGCGTCTGGATGGGCAGGGGAGCCCTCACAGAGGGGTGATGGCTTTGTTGCTGTCTTTGGTTGAGAGCACCCGCAGCACCCCCAGGATAAGATGACCTGTGGGCAGGAATGAGTCCATCCCGGCCTGGAACTCGGACAATGGGTGCCCCGAATGTTTCTCCCGTTGGCTAGTGCCAATTCCTTCTCACCCCTGGCCACATCACACGTTCACTTCCTTGGGAGGTGTTAGTGAGGAAAGCAGAAGAAAGCCACCCCGGACCTGTTGAGGGAGGAGCCCCACCCAGTGGGAACACATCCTTGGTGGCTGCCTAGGAGCTCAGGAACCTGCCTCCTCGATCAACAGGCTGGATGGCACACGGCACAGCTCCCGTGTTTGCCTTCCCAGTCTGGAGTGGAGGCAGAGCTCAGTCCCGAGGCCCATGGCCTGCTGGGAGGACTAAATGGATACACCTTGACCGGCTGGCACTTCCTGGCTTGAAGCCTGCTCCAAGGTTCTGCAGGAGCCTGGCCGCTACGGGTGCCTTCTGGGCTCAGAGCCCAGCCTGCGCCCCTGGCCTTTGCCGCACCCCTGGCACACACAACCTCCTGGGCCCTGCAGGGGAAGTGTTCTCCCCGACTCTGAGCGCGAAGCCCCTCCTCCTTCATCCAGTCCTCCCTGTAGAGAGATGGCGTCTGCCCTCTGTATTTTCACCTCCCGTGAACACACTCAGTGTGTCTTCAAATCACCACGGCTGGGCGTTCTAAACCCAGACAGCACACACAGGACTATTGCTTACACGCACTACTGTCTTTAAGCTCGGCCTCCTCCCCTCCTGGGCCCGTAGGTTCTCCACCATGAGCTGCTGGCCATCCGAGAGGCCTGTATCAAGCTGGAGAAAGATTACCAGCCCGGGATCACGTTCATCGTGGTGCAGAAGCGGCACCACACGCGGCTCTTCTGCACGGACAAGAACGAGCGGGTGAGTTTCCGCAGGATGCCAGGCACGGCGCTCCCCTCAGCCCCATGGCCCGAGCCATGCTCACGGCGAACCTGTGGCCTCAGTGCCGCTGTTCCAGGCTCTGGAGTGACTCTGTCCTCCAAGGGGCCTTGTGGGGACCCAGGCTTGGGCACTAGAGAAGGCTGTCCTTGACTTGGTGAAGTCTTTTTTGTTGTTTTGGTGGTTTTGGTTTTTGTTTTCTTCCAGGATGGGGTCTGGCTCTGTCACCCAGGCTAGAATGCAGTGGCACCATCATAGCTCACTGCAGCCTCTAGTTCCTGGGGTCGAGCAATCCTCCCATCTCAGCCTCCCTGGCAACTAGGACTACAGGCATGCACCATCACTCCTGGCTAATTTTTTTTTTATTTTTTATAGAGACAGGGTCTCACTCTGTTGTCCAAGCTGGGCTCAAGCCATCCCCTTGCCTTGGCCTGCCAAAGTGCTGGGATTACAGGTGTGGGCCACTGGGCCCTACCAAAAAGTCTTAATTTATAAATACCCATAGGCCTGGTTCTAGGCAGAAGATGTCACTTACCTAGTAGATTACCAGAAGAAGTGGCTCTGAAAAGGACCCCGTTAGAAATCACGGCAAGGAACTGCAAGAACTGGCAGAATGGTGTAAACTCAGACCCTTTCGGTGGGTCACTGCTACAGGGCTGGAAGGGGAGGGGAGAGATGTTGGCGTGGAAGCGCCACGGTTCATCTCACGGGTTTCCAGAAGGAGACTGGGGAGGAGCAAGATGTGTAGATAGAACAGCTGAGAATTCTCCGCAGCTGAAGACAGATAGGAGACCCAGGCTAAAAGCGTCTTTCATGTCCTCGTAGGGTAAGTGAAAATGAACCCACACCTTTACACGTTGTCCTAACTGCACAGCATCAAGGCTGCTGCTTAAAGAAGACAGAGCTGCCCAGAAAAAAGGCCTTAGACTCACAACCAGAGCACCATGACCTGGCCAGGGCAGGGCCGGAAGGCAGAGGGGTAATAGTGTCCACCCGGCACCCAGGAAAGAAACTTAAGAGTGTGGGGCTCCCCACAGCCGTGCCCGGGCAAGGACACAGGGAAGGCTTATTGTGCAAATGGAAGAAGAAACAGAAGTTAAGCATCACAGTGAGGAAAAAGACTATCTTCTTTGTGTGTGTGAGAGACGCAGTCTTTCTCTGTCGCCAGACTGGAGCACAGTGGTGCCTCGGCTCACTGCAACCTCCGCCTCCCAGTTCAAGAGATTCTTCTGCCTCAGCCTCCCAAGTAGCTGGGCCTCCAGGCGCGTGCTAAACGTCCGGCTAATTTTTGTATTTTTAGTAGAGACGGGGTTTCACCATGTTGGCCAGGATGGTCTCCATCTCTTGACCTTGTGATCCACCCGCCTCCGCCTCCCAAAGTGCTGGGATTACAGGTGTGAGCCACAGCCCCCGGCCGGAAAAAGACTATTTTATCACAGTAAAATAAATCATTTACCAGGCCAGGCGCAGTGGCTCACGCTTGTAATCCTAGCACTTTGGGAGGCTGAGGTGGGCAGATCTCCTGAGGTCAGGAGACTGAGACCAGCCTGGCCAACATAGCAAAACCCTGTCTCTACTAAAAAAAAAACAAATAAATAAAATAAAATAAAATAAAAACTTGCTGGTTGTGATGGCGGGTGCCTATAATCCCAGCTACCCAGAAGGCTGAGGCAGGAGAATGGCTTGAACCTGCAAGGTGGAGGTTGCAGTGAGCCAAGATGGCGCCACTGTACTCCAGCCTGGGCAACAGAGTGAGACGGTCTCAAAGAAGAAAAAAAACTAAAAATAAATAAATGGAATGATTCACCCAAAAGATATAGCATCTAATGAGCTTGAATATACCTGACACCAAATTATGTAAAGAAAAAAAATTAAAACAAAAACTAGCAGATTTTTAAGGAGAAATTGATAAACACACCATCAAAGAGGTATTTTAACACAGCTTTGTTACACTTTTTCAAGGCAAAAATGAATAAATACTAAAAATTAGGGCCAAGCATGGTGACTCATGCCTGTAATCCCACCATTTTGGGAGGCCAGGGCAGGAAGATCACATCAGTTCAAGAGTTCAAGACCAGCCTGAGCAACAAAGTAAAACCTCATCTCTCTTTTTTTTTTTTTTTTTTTTGAGATGGATTCTCACTGTGTTGCCCAGTGTGGAGTGCAATGGCACAATCTTGGCCCACTGCAACCTCTACCTCTCGGGTTCAAATGATTCTCCTGCCTCAGCCTCCTGAGTAGCTGGGCTTACAGGCACCTGCTAGCACACGCAGCTAATTTTTGTATTTTAAGTAGAGATGGGGTTTCACCAGGTTAGCCAGGCTGATCTTGAACTCTTGACCTCACTCAGGTGATCCACCTGCCTCGACCTCCCACAATGCTGGGATTACAGGCTTGAGCCACCACGCCTGGCCATGAAACCCGTCTCTGAGAGAAATTTAAAAATTAGTTGTGTATGGTCCCAGCTACTCAGGAGGCTGAGGAGGGAGGGCAGGAGAAATGCTTGAGCTCAGGAGGTTGAGGCTGCAATGAGCTGTTATTGCACCACTCTAGCCTGTCTTGAAAAGAACCCTGAAATTTGGAAAAGTGAAATGAACAAGCCAAGCCAGATCTAATAGATAGAATCTTCCCTACAGATAGCTGAGTTGACATGGAAGGGTTATAAAAGTTGGCCTTCTACCAGGACAAAGGAAGTCTCAGGAAATTTCCAAACTTCAGTCTCAAATAAGCCATATTTTTTTTATCATTATACAATTAAATTTCAAATCAACAGTAGAAATGAAGTTGAAGAATGTTTTAAACTTTCAATTCACTGCTGAGTAGCTCATGCATTAAAGATTTAACAAGAATAGAAACCACAAAGTACTCAGAACCGAACAAAAATGAGAATGTCCTGTCAAGCCTTATGCAATCCAGCTAAACAGTGCAGTCTGTAGATTTAGGCAAATTTGTTGTACAACAACAAAGAGAATGATAAAAATAAGCCTAAGGACATCGGAAGAATGGGAATAAGAGACCTCAGTCCCCAAGAGTTCAAGGGAAGGCTGAGGTGCTCATGGCCTTGGGTGCCTTCCCCTTTCCCTGGCCCCGCCCTTCCCCCACAGCCACAGATCTCTGTTGCCAGGAGGCAGGAGGGCTCCGAAGTCAGCTTACTCCTGGTGACAGCTACACATAACTTCCCCATCCTAGAATGGGAAATGAGGTAGAAACTGAAGAAATAAAACAGATGAACGAAATCCAAACCTGCTTTGAGAAGAGACGTTAGGGCCGGGTGCACTGGCTCACACCTGTAATCCCGGCACTTTGGGAGGCTGAGGTGGGTGGATCACTTGAGATCAGGAGTTTAAGACCTGTCTTGGCAACATGGTGAAACCCTGTCTCTACTGAAAATACAAAAATTAGGCCAGGCACAGTGGCTCACACCTGTAATCCCAGCACTTTGGGAGGCTGAGGCAGGTGGATCACCTGAGGTTGGGAGTTTGAGACCAGCCTGACCAACATGGAGAAACCCGGTCTCTCCTAAAAATACAAAATTAGCTGGACATGGTGGCTACTGTAATCCCAGCTTCTTGGGAAGCTGAGGCAGGAGAATTGCTTGAAGCCAGGAGTTGGAGGTTTCGGTGGGCCAAAATCAAGCCATCGCACTTTAGCCTGGGCAACAAGAGTGAAACTCTGTCTCAAAAAAATTAAAAAAGAAGAAAAAGAATTAGCTGGGTATGCTGGTAGGTGCCTGTAATCCCAGCTACTTGGGAGTCTGAGGCAGGAGTTTCTTGAACCCGAGAGGCAGAGGTTGCAGTGAGCTGAGATTGTACCCCTGCACTCTAGCCTGGTCAACAATGCAAGATTCCATGTAAAAAAAAAAAAAACAGGTATCAGGATCAAAAACGAAGCTGTAACTGCAGAAAAGGTGTGCATTATTTAAATCAGAATGGAGCATCCTTAACTTTATGCCAGTAAATTTGGAAACTTACTAAAAAATATAAACAGTTGTTGGTAGAACTATGTAAATTACCAAAATTAGCTCAAGAGGATAGTTCAGTAATCACTGTGGGTTTTTTGTTGTTGTTGTTTTTTATTTTCTTGTTTGTTTTGAGATAGATTCTTGCTCTGTTGCCAGGCAGGAGTGCAGTGGCGCAGTCTTGGCTCACTGCAACCCCCGCTTCCCGGGTTCAAGTTATTTCCTGCCTTAGCCTCCTATGTAGCTGGGATTACAGGCACGAGCCACCATGCCCGGCTTTTTATATTATAGTAGAGACGTGGTTTCACCATGTTGGCCAGGCTAGTCTCGATCTGCTGACCTGTGATCTGCCCACCTTGGCCTCCTAAAGTGCTGGGATTACAGGCGTGAGCCACCGCTCCTGGCCAAGGATAGTTCAATAATAATCATTAAAAGCTTCTGACCTCAAAAGGCATCAGGCACAGAGAGTTTTACAGGCAAGTTTTTTTGTTGTTGTTTTTTGTTTTTGCAACAGAGTCTCTGTCACCAGGCTGGAGTGCAGTGGTGAGATCTCAGCTCACTGCAACCTCTGCTTCCTGAGTTCAAGTGATTCTCCTGCCTCAGCCTTCCGAGTAGCTGGGACTACAGGTGCATGCCACCACACCCAGCTAATTTTTGTATTTTAGTAAGAGATGGGGTTTCACCATGTTGGCCAGGATGGTCTCCGTCTCCTGACCTCCTGATCTGCCTGCCTCAGCCTCCCAAAGTGTTGGGATTACAGGCGTGAGCCACCACACCTGGCCAAGGCAAGTTTACCAAACCTTCAAGAATGGGTAAAGTGTGGCAGAGAATGGGAAATGGGGGGAAATGACTTCACTTATTAACTCACAGTGTGAGGTTAGCCTGATAACAGCAGGTTTGTCGGGAATGTGGATGTTGTGCTGAGGTTAAAGGGCCAGGCCAGCAGCCATATAGCCTGGGCTCCAATCCAGCCTGGCGTGTCCAGCCTGGGCTCCAATCCAGCCCGTGCGTGTCCTGGCCGCTTGACTGTGAGCTTTCACTGAGCCTCCCTTTGTCACCTTGAGAAAGACATGGGAGCATTAATGAGTTAGCACTTGGCCCAGTCCCACCTCAGCCTCCCGAGTAGCTGGGACTACAGGCCTGAGCCACCACGCCCGGGTAATTTTGTATTTTCAGTAGAGACAGGTTTCTCCGTGTTGGTCAGGCTGGTCTCAAACTCCCAACCTCAGGTGATCTGCCTGCCTCGGCCTGCCAAAGTGCTGGGATTACAGGCGTGAGCTACTGTGCCCGGCCAGATGTCAGTATTCTATACAGCAATGAAAATCAGTAAACGGTATCTATCAAATGGATACATCTCAACATTGCAATATTGAGCAAAAGAACAAGTAGCAAAATATGTAAATGCGATACATGTCTACAGTTTTAAGGCTTAAAAAGCAATATGTTATAGTACTAACGGGTACCTGAAGATGTAACAAGGGCATTTGAAGTGTGTGTAGAAAGAATAAAGTCTAATTGAGATTGCACCAGGAAAAGGAAGGGGGGATATGGTCTAGAAGAGATCCAACCATTTCCAAATATTTATTTAAAAATCTAGACCAGGTTTTGTGGCTCATGACTGTAATCCTAGTCGTTGGCAGGAAGATCACTGGAGGCTGAGAGTTCACAACCATTCTGGGCAACATAGCAAGACCCTGACTCCACAGAAAATAAAAGATAAACTTAGCTAAGTGTGGCGGCATGTGCCTGTAGTCCCAGCTACTTGGGAGGCTGAGGTGAGAGGACAGCTTGAGGAGTTTGAGGCTGCAGTGAGCTGTGATTGCACCACTGCACTCCAGCCTGGGCGACAGAGTGAGACCCTGCCTCTGAATTTAAAAAATGTATTTTTGAAAAAAGGTTACAAGGAAGGGAGCACACTGGAGATTGTTTTTTGTATGTACATTTGGTAAATTTGTACAACTAAAAAAAAATTCATCAGGGACCCTGCTAAATGCTGGGCTGGGCTTGTGCATGGGAGTTTGCTGCTATGGTGGCTGTGCTTGATTCTTGGCTGGCTTTTCAACCCATGTTTATGACCTTGTAATTCCACCATTGAATGCTTTTATGAACTGCTCCCAGCCTCTGGGACAGTCTCTGATGGAGCTGCCCCACTCAGGTGCTGGGCGCAAGCCTCCAGCAAATCGCAGGCGCTCCTGACAACGTTCAGAGCCCCCCAGCTCCTCCACCTGGAGCGCTGGTGTGCCTGTGCTTGGATGATGTCCTGTCGGCAGCCAGTCACCCGGTTTGGCTTTAGAGTTGTATGTTGGTGACAGTTTCCATCTTGACCTCAAATCAAAATAACACCAACAGTAGTGAGGAACTCTTAGGGCATTAAAGGCACATTCTGCAGTGAAAAGACTGCATTTAACTCATGGGCCTTCATGAGAGTTGACAGAAAATAACCCCAGCCCACATAGAACTTAACTAATTGAACTTGGTGGTTAGCACTTGTTACATTTTATTGAACACTATACCACCCAGCACCTGTATTAGCCAATTTACAAACTTCAAAATAGGGCACCCTGGCCCCCGGGTGGCACAGCTGCCTGGCTCTGCCGGTCGCTGGCCGTGTCTAACGAGATGCCTGTGTTGCTGAAGGTTGGGAAAAGTGGAAACATTCCAGCGGGCACGACTGTGGACACGAAAATCACCCACCCCACCGAGTTCGACTTCTACCTGTGCAGCCATGCTGGCATCCAGGTAAGGACGGGAGCCCCTTTTGGACAGAGTCTTGGCTATCTGCCATGTCATCCCCATGTTCAGCAAACACTTGCACTCTGGCTGGCATGTGGGACGTGGTATGAGGGGCCCAGACAGGCAGTAGCCAGGGGACCCAGGACCCAGCCTGTGTCAGGCGCTGGCGGGGACAGTGGAGTGGTCAGCATGGGATTCCCAGAGGAAGGAAGTCCCATTTCCTAGGGCTGAGGAGCAGGGAGTGCCAAGGCCCCTGGGGAGCCAAGGGTGTGGTGCGCCTGGAGCTTCGTGAGGTTTGAGCAGGAATGGGGTACTTGGGCTGCCATGGGATGGCAGCTAGGAAGGCTGCTATAGGGGCCACGTGGGGCAGCCTCCATATCAGTTCAGCCTTGCTGTCCCTCCTCGCACAATCACTGGCCAGGGCCAGGCTCCAGCCAAGGACTGGGCACTTGGAGAAGTTGGCCACGGTGTTGGTTATCAGGTTATCACCTCGAGGCTTTCCTGGGTTCCTTCCTGAGGGGACCCCCATCTGGCCGAAGGCAATGCTGGTGAGCCCTGACCCACAGGAACACCATGTCCGCAGAAACACCTGCCCCACCCGGCTCTGCAGAGCCTTGGGCTGGTTAAGGGAAAAACCTTGATCATGTGCCATCCCTGCCTGCAGTGAGCTTCATCAGAGGGGCTCTTGGATTTTAAAGTATAAGTAAGGACTTGAATATCCCTTCCCAAAGGATTTGAACCCTGGAGTTTGAGGATTTGCTATGAACTTTGTACATACCTTTAATATTACATTGGAAATATCTAAAAATGTCACATTGTTCATATGCCTGACACAGAAAGAATGGGGACTGGTTTAACCTGCGGCCCAGGAGTGGAGAGTGGGTTTCGCTGTTGGAAGCCTTAGTGAGAAGCAGGTGATGGAGTGCACGCAGGGTTTGCGACACTTCTTAGTCCAAAGCACCTGTCCCAGCCCTGGCTTCCTTTGCCAGGGCTGGTGAGATGTACCTGGGCTGTGCCCTGCCTATGTTGCCCTTCCCTCCTGGTCAGGGAGCCTTACCCAGCAGGGCTTCCCAGGCGTGTTTCCTGGGTAAACTCTTCTCCCTGAACTTTCTGCCCAAAATCTTTCTCACCGGGGATCCTTCTCTGGTGAGCTGTTTATGGCCCAAGGCTGCCACTGCTGCTGTGTCCTTAGCAAACCCACGAAGACAGATGCCCTCACTTCCCCTGGGCCCCTGTGACAGCCACTGGTCACATGCCAGGAAAGGGGTGCCAGAGCGTGTGCTGTGGAACATCAGGGACAAACATTCCACTGCCCACCAGCACCAGGGCCCTCAGCACCGGGCCAGACAGACAACGGAGCAGCTGGCAGGGACTGTGCTGCACAGGTTGTTGTGGGAAGGGCCTGGGAGGTGGGCAGGCGGGCAGAGGTGGCAGAGAGCCCCACAGTCAGCAGCTGGTGCTGCTTTCATTTCAAACAATCACCCCCCCCAGGAGGTGATGTAAAATGGTACTCATGTTCACATTCTTGCTTCTACAGTGTTACTGCTAATGTGTAACTTTTTTTTATTTGAGCCAGAGTCTTACTCTGTTGCCCAGGCTGGAGTATGGTGGCGCAATCTTGGCTCACTGCAGCCTCTGCCTCTCAAGTTCCAGCAATTCCCCTGCTTCAGCCTCCTGGGTAGCTGGGATTACAGGCACACACCAACATACCTGGCTAATTTTTGTATTTTTACTAGAGACTGGGTTTTGCCATCTTGGCCAGGCTGGTTTTGAACTCCTGACCTCACGTGATCTGCCTGCGTCAGCCTCCCAAAGTGCTGGGATTATAGGTGTGAGCCACCATGCCAGACCTAATGTGTAACTTTCATTAGAGGTTTTTTCCTTGCCATTATAAACAAATGACATAAAACATAATATACATCAATGCCACTGTCCTTGTTACATCTACTTTTTTTTTCAGTTATAAAGTCAACTGTATATATCCACTTTTAATATTGATTTATATCTTTTCTATGATTTTTTCATGTGTAAATATGTACAGTTTTACCAATGTGGGGCCATTTGCTATATATAGTTGTTATGATGCCCCCCCTTTTTTTTTTTGAGACAGTCTTACTCTGCTGCCCAGGCTAGAGTGCAGTGGCATGATCTCAGCTTACCACAACCTCTGCCTCCCAGGTTCAAGTGATTCTCCTACTTCAGCCTCCCAAGCAGCTGGGCTTACAGGGTGCACCACCACACCTGGCTAAGTTTTTGTATTTTTAGTAGAGACAGCATTTCACTATGTTGGCCAGGCTGGTCTCAAACTCCTGATCTCAAGATCCACTCGCCTTGGCCTCCCAAAGTGCTGGGATTATAGGCGTGAGTCACCACGCCCAGCCAATGATCCTTTTTTTTTTTGTTTTGTTTTGTTTTTTTTTTGGTTTTTTTTTTTTTTTTTTTTTGAGACGGAGTTTCGCTGTTGTTACCCAGACTGGAGTGCAATGGCACGATCTCGGCTCACTGCAACCTCTGCCTTCTGGGTGGGTTCAAGCAATTCTCCTGCCTCAGCCTCCCAAGTAGCTGGGACTACAGGTGCGCACCACCATGCCCAGCTAATTTTTGTATTTTTAGTAGAGACGGGGTTTCACCTTGTTGACCAGGATGGTCTCAATCTCTTGACCTTGTGATCCACCCGCCTCAGCCTCCCAAAGTGCTGGGATTATAGGCATGAGCCACCACACCTGGCTTCTATGATGCATTTTTAATAATACACATATAAATATTCTTCCACAGTATCCTTTTTTAAAAAAAAAAAATATGCATTTTTTCATTTAAAGAGATGGGGTTTTACCTTGGTCAGGCTGGTTTCGAACTCCTGATCTCAGATGATCCACCCGCCTCGGCCTCCCAAAGTGCTGGGATTACAGGTGTGAGCCACTGCACCCAGCCTTTTTTTTTTTTAAACACAGTATCCTTTTTTTAAAAAAAAGATGGAGTTTCACCGTGTTGGTCAGGCTGGTCATGAACTCCCGACCTCAGGTGACCCTCCCGCCTTGGCCTCCAAAGTGCTTGGATTACAGGCGTGAGCCACCATGTCCAGCCCATAGCATCCTTTTAAAGATTCTATGGCAAGTCCAACTATCCAATTTTCTGATCTGCTTTCAGGGGACAAGCAGGCCTTCACACTATCACGTCCTTTGGGATGACAATCGTTTCTCCTCTGATGAGCTGCAGATTCTAACCTACCAGCTGTGTCACACCTATGTGCGCTGCACACGCTCCGTGTCCATCCCAGCGCCAGCGTACTACGCTCACCTGGTGGCCTTCCGGGCCAGGTACCACCTGGTGGATAAGGAACATGACAGGTAGGTGGCACGCCTGGCTGGAGGTCACAGCAGGACTGTGTTTTTGGCACGGTTATTGGCAGCTGCTTTTCTGGAAGGCGAAGCGGCAGGGCCCCAGCAGCTGGAGCCAGCACTCCAGGGGGCCTGTTAGTGGCCTGGCCGTCGCGTGGGACTTCCTGCTCCTGCAGGTGCCCTGCGCGCGTTCTGAGTTGGTTATGTTGAACCGCCTCATGGCACATTAAGGCTACGTATTCTCATTCTCTCTCTGTCTTATCCCTGCAGTGCTGAAGGAAGCCATACCTCTGGGCAGAGTAATGGGCGAGACCACCAAGCACTGGCCAAGGCGGTCCAGGTTCACCAAGACACTCTGCGCACCATGTACTTTGCTTGACATGTTTTAGTGTTTAGCGATTGTGTATTGAGGGGGATTCACGAGACCAGCTACACTCAGACCAACAGATGGCCAGCCCTTCCGTGACAGCCAGCATCAAACATGAGACGTCATTGATTTTATTAGATTCTCCGTTTTCCAGAATGCCTTCCGTCCCAGATTTCAAACTTGGATTTTGAACTGCAGACCTGTATGAGAACCCAATGTCATAGGAAATATGGTTTGCTAAAATCTATAAGCTGCTTACTAAAATAGAGTCCCGTGTTTCCTAAAAATCTCCTAAAACCAGTCTATGAACTCAGGGCTTTAAAACATTTTTAATTTATTTGGTCATTCAATTTACTTGTTTTTAATACATGATTCTCTATGAAATTGGTGGGCTCAAACTAGCTGTGAATCTTCTGAGAGAGAAAGCAACACAAAACACAGTTGTGGTTTTAAAGCCTTGAACATTCTGATGTCACTAAAGCTGATTTTCAGGCGCGGCTCACCCAGGCTCTGCAGCCAAGGGCGGGTGGCCGTGCAGAGGCGTCTGCAGGTGCCGTGTCTGCCAGCACCACCCTTCACCCAGCCTGAACCCAGGAGCAGTGGCAGAAGGTGGGCCCCGTGTGTTTACAGCATTTCCAGGTCCAGAGAGGTTGGCAGACAAGTGCCATTTTAATAAAAATGTATTTAAAAAAAAAGAAAAAAGACAATATACTGACAGTCTAATCATCAGATTTGTCCTATAGGACTGTGACATTTATTTTCCAAAGTTTCTAAAGAATACGGGTCTGTGGTGATAAATACAGTACAATCCTTTTTCACTGTTATGTCTTTAATGTAAGAGAAAAATATATATATCTGGTTTGCAGTATTAATGTGATAGATAGATGCTGTTTTTTCATTTTATTGACTATGGGGTGCTTCTGTGATCTGTTTAGCATATCAAGAGTGTTTTGGAGCTTGGGGATGGGACCGCCTCTCAGTTCTTAGTGCTTAAGTACAGGAATATGCAATTGACTTTATGTGACAGCAGCCTGCCTCCCCCCGTGGAAACTGTGCAGCCTGTACCCTCGGGAGGGGCGGGTGTGCCCTCTGCACTGCTCGCCGCCCTCCCTGCTGCCTCGTCCCCGTGTGTTACTCAGCTGATGAAGCACAAGTGGAAGTTATTTATTCTTGCATTGCTGGGAAACACATTCATGTGTGGGGTGCACTCTCTCCCCTCTCCGTGTGTGCTTTTGTCAGATGAGTTCCATAGATGTATGCACTGAGATTCGTAGAAAGCTGTCGGTGGTGGCTCTGCTGGACGTGAGGCCGTCAGTCACAGTGAAGGAGCCTGCCTGGCCCTGGGAGGCCCGAGGATGGCAGGGCCAGCAGAGGGCACAGGACATTCTGCTTGGGTTTGCATTTGGGGCCCCAGACGTGGGTTTGCCAATCTAGAAACCGTTGCACTGCAGACGGTTTTGAAGTCCAAGAACAGACAGGTCTGTTTGTGCTAAGTGGGCTTTTGGTCTCTGTACAGTTTCAGTAAGACTCCAATCCATGTTCCATTAGAGGCGTCAGGAAGGAGGCCAGCCTCCCCTAGTGCTGCTCTGCGCTCCATAGGTCCCCTCTTCCTGCTGCTGTCCCCTCCCCGGCCCTGCGTGACACTTACCTCGGCACAGCGGTGGGGTGTGGTGCCAAAGGAGCTGCTTGCTGCTGAGCGGCACCCCCTCCGCCTTCGTGCTCAGCTGCTTCGGAGGTGGCGGGAGGAGCGGCAAGCCACCGGTGGGGGTCCCCGGAGCCTCGCCTGGATGTTGGCGGCAATGACAAAGGGATGACTATTATTTGTGAAGATGTGTACTCAGAGTTGTGTGTGCGTGTCTGTGTCTGTGTGTGTGTGTCTTATTAACGGTATTAGTCTCTTTTGGCTGTATCTTTTTTTTTTTAAATCTTTTTAAATGACAGAAGCCCCCGCTCTAAGAAATCGCGATTCCCTGTTGTTTTGTAGGCCAGTGGCACTTTCTCCTGTTTTCAGAAGGATAGAGACAGGGTTGGAGCTTAAATTAACAGATGCATTCAAGCTAAGGGGGGAATCTTTTGACTAATAAACTTTTCACATCTGAAATTAGATTAGTTTCCAGCCATTTTTAGAATTATCTGGAACCATGTGTCTCAAAGGTGTGTTTCTTCCACCTGCATCAGGCTCTCTGTCTGGGGGATGCTGGTGGTTCTTGTTTATAATGCAGATTTGTGGGCCTGCTCCTACCTCCTGAGGAGGTGCTTCATGGCTGGCCTGGCAGGTGCATCTAAGTGATGGCCTGCGGCCCTGGGCTCCGAGGACCCAGTCCTGGCGGCCCCCCAGCAAGGAGGGGATGCTTCCTGAGTGGATGCATGGGACAGATTGAGCTGGCAGAAAAGTAGAACTACAATTTTTTTCTTAAATCATTTTGAAGCAAAGTTTTCTTTTTAGTGGGCCAAAGTACTTTGAGAAGGGTACTTTTTATAGCTCTATGCTTGTTTTATAAAACTTACAATACTAGAAACATGAACAGACCAAACATCTCCAGCTGGGCCGGCTGCACACCTTTGTACATGTCCGATGATTCAGAGTTTAAATGGCTGTAGTTACAATTTCTCAGGAAAATAGTTGTTTTCTCAAATTTCTAGCAATCCCTGCATCATTAGGCTAAATTTCGAGACAGTGTACAACCTCAGATTACAGTAGGGTAAGTCCCAGCCCTATACGTGTGGAAGCCAGAGGCGGCCCCTTCCCCGGTGTCTGAAGGGTGCCTAGGGCCTCCTCCTTCCCTGTCCACGGCTGTCCTCCCCGAAATACCCAGGCCTGTTGAGATTTGAGGTGTGCCCACTCGCTGGCTTTGTCCCCATCCCACTGTTAAGTAAGGTGTGCCTTGCTTTAAGCAAACTGAATGTGAAAATAACCATGTAGAAGTCTGGGTTTGTTCAAAAGAAAAACTGGGATTTTATCTTATCTCTTTAAAAGAGGTCTCCCAATTTGATTCCTGTACTGGGACTCTTCCTGGTATATTTTTACATGTTCACTTTTTGAAAGCATTAATGTACTCCCATCCTTTTGCCGCTAACCTGTCCCATTTGACAAGTTCTTGCTGTAACGGCAAAGCAGTTAATGAACCTGAACACCTGGGGAGCCGTGGAAAGCTGCCCTCAGGGCAGAGACCTTCGGTGGTGGGAAGCCGCCAATCTGTTGTTTGTGTATCCCAAGCTCAGGTTTTCCTGGTTTGGAGAAATTTTGTAAAACTGGGCATGCACAGCTGTACTTCTAGAAGGGGATTATTTTCCTTAGGGTTTGGTTTTCTCTGGTTCAAGCCGTCTTCACATGGAGAATTTTGATAGCACGTTAGAGTCTGCCCTTGGAAGATGATGATGCTTTTCAGTGACGGCCTCACACTCCTTTGAATGAATGTCTGCACTCTAGAACCACAAACGATGCGCGGCCATCGTCCAGCTTGCCCGAGAGGGAACTGTCGGGAGCAGGCAGTGACCTCGCGCTGTTTGTCAGAGGCTGACCCAAACTGCTATCACTAATGTTTACCCCAGTGACTGAGTGCGCATTAGAACAGGTCATGTCAGTTCACTTCCTGGAGCGGGCTTAGTGGCTGGGGGTTTTTATCGTTGTTGTTATTTGTTACTTTTATTGCTGTTAAATGCAAGTGTTGCTATTTATTTTTTTCTTTCTGCTCGGGTTTGGTTTGGTTTGGCCAACACAGATATTCCAATGCATGTGGTACCTAATGGATATGATAGGAATTATTTCCCCAACTTTTATAAATCACCTAATGTTTACCTTCAAGTTTGCTGGATGATTTATTTTTGAAAGCCACAAATGTGATTTTTCTGGATGAATTGTTTTTCTTATATATGCAGCCGTGTAATTTTACATTGGTCTGCAGGGTGGTTTAAATTTTATTTTTACAAGGCAGTTTTTCAGTCAGATTATATATTTGATACAATATGCTAAGGATTGACTGGCCATGAGTCAGGTGGCCGGACACCGGCATGTCCCCGGGAGGCCTCTGGGGCTGGGGCGGCTTCTCGGCTGGTGGCTGGTAGCTTGTTCCTTGCGCCTCTGGGAACTGGGTGTGTCCTTCAGCAGGACCGTGACCCCCTGAGCAGTTAAAAGGATTTTTCATGGGCATTTTCCTACACATAAGGCAGTTCCATTAGCAGGAGCTTTAGAAGTTGACATAATCCAGACAGTGGACAATCCCAGTGGCCCAGACAAGCCATACGACATTTCTCCTGTGACCTCTCTCTGACCTATCTCTCACGCTCATGAGAAAAGGAATGTACAATAAATAGAAACAGGAACTTCCTCAGTGCTCATGCGCCTCACCTGCAGAATGCGAGTATCTTATTTATGTTTGAAACCCTTCCCCAAAGTGACTGAGAAGTTGCGCTCTAGCTGCGGTGTCAGCAGTTTTTTCTGCCGTGACGCTTTCCGGTGTAGATGCAGTGCACATGTGACTTTGTCATGTGGGTGCCCCTGTTACACACACACATGCTGACTCTCTTTTGTAAGGAAAATCTTCAACTCAAAATAATTGCACTGATTTTTTGACAACTTCTTTATACGATGTCCAGCTTCGCATCTGCTGTACTTGTCTGAGACGACTGTAAATAGATTTCTGGTAGAAGTGATATGAATGCACGCGGGGCTCTGTTGTGGAGACACTGCCTCGTATTCAGTATTATGTGTTAGAGTTGTGTGGATTTAACTCTGTTCCGCCCTTGAGCTTCGTGTCTGTTGACCATTGATGAAGGACAAATTTCACCTCGTTTCTTTTTCTTCTGAAGGGAAGTTTTAGGTCTGTTACTGGGAGAACATGGTCTCTTGATGCCTGATGGTTTAGTCCTAGGTGGGCTCGTTGCAGTCTTGTGAACGCTGTTCTGATCTGTTTGATTCCTCGTTGCTGGCCATGGCTCCCCAACGCATGGTCTCTGAGTTCTTCCCAGAGCTGGGCAGGCCGGACGGGAGGCACCTGTTGCGCCTGCTACTAGAACGCGAGGGCCTCCTTTTCGTCTCTGTGGTCAGAGTCATTTTAAAGCCATGAGGTGACTGTCGTGTCAAAGCCATCATTTGCCCATCGTGTTGCCGGAGTAGCAGCGTGTGCTGTAGCCCCCGTGTATCACTCTGTGGTCAGGCTACCCTGTGTCAGGCCTAGCAAGGAGTTTTTCAGCCCAGACCAGTCTGTGTGTGTATGTCCGAGTCACATCAGTGCCATTACGGTGCCCTCGCTTATGCTTCTTTGGGTATGTTTTGCCATGTTATTGTCTAAAGTGAATGTATTGGCTTAGCCAAATTACTACAGAAGGTGGTTCCTAAATACCTTTTAGTTAAAAAAAATTACAGTTAAAGGCTACCTCTGAATTCCCAGTAGACTCATCATGTTTGCTCTTAAGTGTAGCTGTCCACACTGAAAACAGCCAAGATGTTGCCTGAATAAACTGAATTGTGAACATCTATCTGTTCAGTTCTGGCTTGAAAATGTGTGTGCCATACTGTGACCCATGGGCAGCCCCCTCCTCCTCTGCCGGGTCAGGTGGTCCAGGGTCACCTCCGTGCCGCGCAGCTCTGAGATGCTGGGATTCTACAGTCGGCACGAAAAGCATGGGAGGGTTCTCTGCTCGGGACAGCATGCTGTCCTTCATGCTGGCAGGAGCATCTGCGCAGGGTTGCGTGTGGCAAAACCTTGAGACAGCCTGTGTCCTACCTGGCTTTCCACTTCCCTGTTTAATATAAGAAAGCACTTTTTTTTCTGCTTTACCTACAAATGGATTGAAAATGGCCTCCTCTGTCCTGTCCTCCCTTTTATACACTCTGTAAAATCACAAAGGTGCTTCAACACCAACTCTCATGTAAGTAATAGATTTTAAATAGTTGCAAGGTTTCAAGGACGATGCGGACGCCATTGGCCTTTGACTTTGGGACCTGGGTTACTCTCACTCTCTACTGCAAAACAAACTAAGGGTTGAAAGCAAAGTCTTCTGTTCCAATCCAGGGTCCTTTGTTTGAAAAGAACACAGGGCCCACAGCTGGTGTTTTGAAGTTTCCACTAGTGGCACAGTGGACCATCTGACACTCACTTGCAGGAAGTCGGTCCTGGGAGCGCGGATGGGTCTGAACACCCCTCCCCGTGATTGAACCACTTTGCTGTCAGAAATGTCATTTCCCCTAACCTACACTGTGCTTCGGACCTGGCCCTCTTTCGCTTCTTGCTTTGGGTTCCATGTGATCCCCCATCTTCAGGTGAGCGCTGGCTCCAAAACGTTTCCATCAGTTTACTCCTGAGTTGACAGGCGATGGTCTTACAGTTGGAGGCTCCTGGGTGTTTGGAGGGGGCCCCGCCCTCATATTGGTTGCTCAGCAGACATTGAATTTGGCCCAGGGGCTCACACTGTCATTACCTGGAAGCAATTGCCTTTAATGCTGCTGTTCTGGGTTTCATGCTTTTTATGCTTTGTTGAGCGCTTGAATTTCGGAAGAGCTAAGTGTCCTTTGCCGTCTCTCAGAATGTTTTGTCATTCTGCCACCAGACTGTTCCATGTGAACAGACCTCTAGAAGCTTGGGCACTCGGGGTGGGGGGTGGGTGTCCCACTGCCTGCCGCCCCGGGTATTGGCTGCTCGTGTCCACTGCGCTGGCCTTGGGCTTTCTGCCAGAATCTGGTCCAGGGTGTTTGAGGAGACTGAAGCAGCTCGCCCCTCAACTCGGTCATGGAGCTGCTGCTTGCAGATCCACTGCAGGCTTCCCGCCCCTGCATCTCCCACCATCTCAGCGTTCGTAAGAATTTACTCAGAAGTGAGAGAACTGAGGATTCCTGGTGCTTTTGTTAACACGTTTCTATCTTACTGGTTGGTGTGGAAGTTTTAGATGTGTTGTTAGGTCTTTAAATGCCGTGGGTGGTATAACTAAAGGATTAAGTCCTCACCTCACCCCCCCCAACCTCCTTTTGGGGGTTAGGAAGAGGCTGAATTATCTCCTATTTAAAACCACCTTGGATTTAAGTAGTTTGGAGTTAAAGCTAAAACACCAAATATTAACTCTTTCCCCCAGGTGTCTCCAGGAACTGGACATTGGGGCCATTCTCATTCAGTTCTTTCTGCAGCTTCAAGGTCCTTAAAATGAGTGAGTTGATCCCAAGAACACCCCACACCACCGGCCAGTGGGGCATCATGCAGGCGATTTCATAGATCAGGTGCTTGTGTAGGGGTCCAGGGCTCCTTTGAACTCTGGGAGTTGTGTGCGCAGTCTTGGGTGGGAGAGGGCAGGCCCCTCTGTCCCAAGAGGCCGGTGGTGCCCAGGCCTTCCTCTGGTCTCCATCGTTGCCAGCCTGATCGCGTTCTGGAAGATCCAGTCTTAGACTCTGTGCCTTTTAAGTCCGGTCCTCAGTGTCCTTTCAGAATCATGTGGGGCTGCGTTTCTCTGGGGAACTAAGCCAGTGCCATTCCACAAGGCAGGCATGGACCTCCAGCCTTGGAAGCTTTCTTTCTGCTCCTCAGCCCCTGACTTGTAAACTGTGATGCCACGTGGTCTGGAGCCTCGGAGGACGCACTTGGTCTCGGAAAACACTTGGTTCCAGTCGCGTGGTTTCTCCCATACCCTGACCAAGTCCCCCTCTGCCAGGATCGCGGGAGATTGGTGCAAGACCCATCTCTTAGATGTTGACCATGACCATCAGCAAAGCCTGGTGGTCTTGTTCTCATAGTCACTTGACAAGAATATTTATTGTAATGGAAGTAGGTTTTTTTTTTAAAAGGAATTGGAATCATGTCTTTGTAGAATGTGTGTGAAGTCCTCCGCTGTAAGGTGCTATTCAGTCCTGTGACCCTCATTTTGGAACGCTCTTCATTGCTGCTGCTCTGTTTTGTGGCTTACTTAGGTGTGCTGTCACCTTGAACTGTGCACGTAGGACACGAGTTTTGACTTATCCGACAGGCAATTTTTATCTCTAGCTTTTTCAAGCCAGGTATTGAGCAGTTTCTTGGCCAGTGGCCTGAGAAGCCACCTTTCCCTGTCAAGGGGTGATTTTATTGGTTTTAAGCAGGGAAGTAATCCCATGTACTTTTTTTTTGTTTGGAAACCGAGTCTCGCTGTGTCACCAAGCTGGAGTGCAGTGGTGCAATCTCGGCTCACTGTAACCTCTGTCTCCTGGGTTCAAGCAATTCTCCTGCCTCAGCCTCCCGAGTAGCTGGGACTACAGGCGCGCACCACCATGCCAGGCTAATATTTGTATTTTTAGTAGAGACGGGGTTTCACCACCTTGACCAGGATGGTCTTGATCTCTTGACCTCGTGATCTGCCCACCTCAGCCTCCCAAAGTGCTGAGATTACAGGCGTGAGCCACCGCGCCTGGCCACTTATTTCTTAAATACCTAACAAGTTCTTCTTGGTGGCTCCTCTTGGCTGTCTCCTCTTTCTCCCCCAACCCTCCATCCTTTCGAGGAATGGCCTTTCCCTCCGCAGAGACACACACTGCAGAGGGAGCGCTGTGGCGGCAATTCCAGTTCCTCTTCAAAGCCAAACACACACGCGTGACTGAAACCCTAGTGTGGAGGGTGGCGTGGCGTTGAAATTCCAGGCCTGAGTTTGATAGTGGATTTTAATATAGTTGTTAAAGGTATGAATTCATGTTTTATAACTGTAGAGGCAAGCAAGTTTTTATTTTTAAAAAAGTTTTGAGAGAATAATTTATAAGTTTCTGTGCAGCAAAGTGGCTAATTACTCATTAAATACAGGAAAAGAATGTAGTATCTAAATCCAGCTTTTTCTTACCTCTGGTACACTTCAGATTACTTACCTAATACATATTGAGGGGTTTTAACCCTTAGTTTTATCAATTTTTCTAGTTTTATTTTATTTTTATAAAATAATTGAAAAAGAACCAAAAATGAATTCAAAAGTTCCATAGATGGATTTTTGCCCCTTCTTAATTTTCCCCCACAGTAAAAACACTTTAGAAGACATTTTGAATCAACATGTATAGTGACCATGTAAGGTTCACTATTTTCTAAGCAGCTGAGCAGCTCCAGGGCCTCGTTTCAGGGTACTCTGTGTATTGTCCACAGGCTTGTTTCTCCCTGTACGGTGGAACTGTGTGACCACGTCTTGTGCTTGCAAAATAGAAACCATGCAGTGCTGTTTTGTAAATTGACAGTTTCTGTATAAACTCTTATTTATATACATTGGCCTCTCTGTATGATTTTCCATTTGCTACATGAATTGTAAAATTAATTATAAAATTGTAGTACCTGCTAAATACAATTCTGAGGCTTCATGTCATTGTCTTTAGTTGAATACCATGCTGTGTGTCCTGAAGATGTCCATGCTTGCATGATACCAGGTGGCGATGCCACGTTACATTAAGCCTTAATCAGATGCTAAATTTGTAAGTTTCAGAGTATGCAAAAATATCAGGCAGAGTGAGTGTAAACTGTTCAGATCGAGATGCTGTGTCATAATTCAAGTTATTTTTTCTGGAGTTAAAAAGGGAAGCATTTGGTGATACACCTCTCTGTCTCTGTCTCTCTCTCGTCTAGCTTGGCTACTGCCATAGCTTGATGAACATGGACCATTGTGCATTTCTGTGACAGTCAGTCAAAAAGACCTGTGCTGAAAGTCTTGCGACTTTTTCAGGGTTTTTCTGTTTTTGTTTTTTTTTTCATGTTTGATTTTTTTCCCCTCCAGTCTGAGATTTCTGTATGGCTGATGGAGAGTGCAATTTGGGCGTAGGTCTTATTTGCAAACCTGCTCATGTTCTAAGCTTTCTTCAGGTAGTACCACCTGTCATCGCTTTTGCATATGATTTAAATGGACTTTTGTTTTCATAAAAGCATCATAAATTTAGAGATAAAATGGAAGGGACCCAGCTTTCTTTACAATGTGGATCTACCTCAGTTAAACAGTTGGGTGCTATACTAAGTCTGTCAAATTAAATTGGAAAAAGTAACCTAAACAGTGAGATGTAACTCCACATGAAACTTGAAATTGTAGTTTCCGTTTATTTAATGATATTTTTATTTATTTGTGCCTTTTATGTTGAACCCCAATGCATTGAAAAAAATCAGTGTGAGAGACTACATATTTTATATTCCAGGTGGGGAGGAAAGTCCAGTTGGTCGTGGAATTTGATAGACTTTACCCCAGCCAACTGCTACAGCATATTAGAATCCTGACTGCCCGCCTCCCCTGCAACCCTGTGAAAAGAAAAAAAAATGCCCAAGAGCAAATCTTCACATTTTACAAACAATAAAGTCCAAACTCCTCTATGCACATATTTACAGCTCCACTTCATTTTCTGTGCCAGTGGAGGGGCAGCCAGAAAAATTCCCAAGTACCCTCATCATTGCTTTTCTAGCCATTCATGCCCCCTCTTCCTCTGGCACATTTTATAAGAGTTTATTTCATAAGCAGCAAACAGACTGTTGTCGATTTCATCTCTCCTGACCTACCTGGTGGAGGTGCTAATGACCATGGACAGAAAGGGGCGAGCCAGAGCTCGTGGCTTTGTGGAGGCGGAGGCCTGTATTCAGCAGTGGCCCATGTGCCTGTGAGTTGGGAAGGCTTTCTGACAGGTAAGAAATTGAGATAGGGTGATGACTTACCATGCTTTTATATTTGGCAGTTTACAATTCTAGAACTTTTCCTACTATGGCGATCTTTTTTTACTTAATTCTTTGGAGGTAACAATATTTTGGAGTCTTAAGAATTTTGATTTTATACCAATAAGAAATACAAATTAGGGATCTTTCCTGTAGTACATAGTTTTACTATTTTAAAGAGATCTCAATTTTACAAGAGAACCAACATTCCTTACTGGCAGAACTTTGAAAGTTGATTTGGGAGGCTTGTTGCTGCAGGATCTCAAAAATAGAAAGAGAGAGATGATTCTACTTAAATGTTTTTAATTTTCTAACTTCCATCAGGTTGATACTTAAGCTCTATTTTGTAAAGAGTAAATCATCCTTTAGTATGCTGCATACGATGATCAGCATTCTTGCACTTTCTCAGTAATAAGGCGTGCCCTGCAATTGGCCCCCCAGGACGCATTGTGTTTTTAACCTAACGAGAGGACTTTGGGGCAGGTGATTAAATTTATATAGGTACCTCAAGAAAAAGAACCTGACTATGCTGCATTTTCTTTCTTTAGCTTCTACATGTAGCATTTTGTTTTCCTTTTGTTATTTTTGTTTAGATATATGCTTTTTGGACCCCAATAGACTGTTGAAAGAAATTTAAAAATTACTCTTGTAGAGATATAGTATCCTTAAAAAATAAACTAAAAAAACCAAAATTAAAAAATTAAACTTGCTGCAGTATCTGGCTCGAAGGTTGCCCTATATTAGCATAATACTTTAGCCGCATACACCTGAGGAGACGGATACTATGTGGATAAGCAGACAATAATGTTCTGAATCCTTTCTGTTCATGCTGCTTTCTTAATTCGTTCCTCCATGTCATCAAGAGGTTGGATAACTTATTTCTAAGGTCAAGGCTAAAAACCATGTCACTTTTTTTTTCTTTTCAACACAGACCTCAGAAAAGTTGTGATTGAGGAAGTAGCATGATCCTAAATGTGTTGCTGAAATCAGGCAGCCTGAGCCTCTGGTCTCTCCAGAGAGCCTGTCTTCACATTTCTCTATTCCTCAGCACTCACCCTCAACTGAACAGATGGGGAGTGGTCTTGATTGTCAAGATAAAACTGGTGAAGAAAGCTACATGCTGAGAAAGTGAGCATCTATTGTCATGTTTAAGCTTAGCTGGGTCCTTTCTAGTTTGTTTTTACAGCTTACTAGGTTAAGTAGTTTGCACTATTTTTGCAATAAATTCATGGAAACCCTAACAGTGACTTGTTTTGTTTCTTACTGTGTGTATATAAACTAATACTAAAAGTTTGGCATAGTGTTTTTTTCACCTCCTTACATAACCCCTAACATGCACAGAATGCTGTAAATCTGATAAAATATGATGTGAATGATATTTTATAAAGTTATTTTGTATGGTGTCAATTTTGTTTTGCCTCATAGTATGTCAGCAAAAAATTAAATAAAAGTCCTCCTATTTACAGCTGCCTCTTCCAAACCTCTTCAATTCCTCACGGACTTCCTTCTGCACAGGTTATGATTCTAGTTTCCGAGGCAGAAGCATGCCTTCAGGGGTGGAAGTCTAGAGCCCTGTCCTTGAAGAATGCACTTGGCAGAGCTGGGCACTACCCGAGGATTTGGGTTTGGGGGATGAAAACCACAGGTACGAGTTGAACAAGAGTGGGAACAGCCATGGTAGCTGGGATAGCTGGCTGTTTCTGCTCTTGCAGCATGAAAAAGGATGAAGAAGCCACTCAGCTAAGCCCATCATGAGCAAGGCCCTGTAATCCCAGCTGCTCGGGAGGCTGAGGCAGAAGAACTGCTTGAACTCAGGCGGCAGAGGTTGCAGTGAGCCCAGTTCAGGCCACTGCACTCCAGCCTGGGCAAGAAGGTGAGACTCCATCTCAAACAAACAAACAAAAAGCTTCAGGCCAGGCACGACAGCTCACACCTGTAACCCCAGCACTTTCAGAAGCTGAGTTAGGTGTTATCACGAGGTCAGGAGTTTGAGACCAGCCTGCCAACAGGGTGAAAGCCTATCTCTACTAAAAATACAAAAGTTAGCCAGGCTGGTGGCGAACTGCTGTAATCCCAGCTACTTGAGAGGCAGGAGAATTACCTGAACCTGAAGGCAGAGGTTGCAGTGAGCCAAGATAGCGCCACTACACTCCAGCCTGGGCAGCAGAGTGAATCAAACTCCATCTCAAAAAAACACCTGTACACAAGTGTTTAGAGGGCTTTATTAATTATAGTCAGCAAGTCCAGGCATGGTGACTCACGCCTATAATCCCAACACTTTGAGAGGCTGAGGCAGGCAGATCACTGAGGTCAGGAGTTAGAGACCAGCCTGGCCAACATGGTGAAACCACCTCTCTATGAAAAATGCAAACAAAATGAGCTTAGCATAGTGATGCGCGCCTGTAATCCCAGCTACTCAGGAGGCTGAACCCAGATGGCAGCTGCAGTGAGCTGGAATCATGCCATTGCACTCCAGCCTGGGTAACAGTGAGACCCTATCTCAAACAAACAAAAAAAAATCAGTCATCAAACTAGAAACAATCCAAATGGGTAATGTTCCATATACATGGAAAATGGATAAACAATCACATCCATACAATGGAATCCTACTCAGCAATAAAAAGAAATGGACGTCTAATACCCGTGCTAACACGGATGTATCTCAAATGCATTCTGCTAAACAGAGAAACTGCAGCCTTGAATGCTACCTACTCGATGATTCCATTTATATGGCATTCTGGAAAAGACAGTCAGCCAACTGGTCTGTAGGCCAAATCCATTCATTTTTTTAATGACACATAAGCTAAGTATTTACATTATTAAATGGAGAAAACAGTATTTCATGACATGAAAATTACACAAAATGCAAGTTTCAATTTGCAAAAATGAAGCTCTTGAAACACAGCACCTGCATTCCTTCATGTATCACCTGTCTGCTTTCGCACCACTACAGCATAGTTTAGTAGCTGCAACAGGGACGATAAAAGGCCACAAAGCTTGAACTATTTACTGCATGGCCCTTTCCAGAAAAAAATCTGATACCTGCTATAGGGACAGAGATAGCTTGACGGTTGCCAGGGTAAAAGGTGGGGAAGGAGTTGACCACAAGGGAATTTTTTGGAGGATGATGTAGTTGTTAGTTGTGGTGGTGGTGACTTGACTGCATTTGTCAAAACTCAGAACTGTACACCAAAGAGTAGATTTTTAATTATTTTAAAATAAATGTTTGGGGGTTTTTCTTTCTTCTTAGAAGATTTAGTAATAGTAACCTAAAAATTAAATGTTAATAAACAAGAGGCACAGAAAACACCGGTGGCTGCTAGAGGGCAGGAGACAAGTCTGAGTATGGGGGCATTGGGGAATGTCATGGGTGATGGAACTGTCCTGCCTAGCGATTGGTGATAAAACCATACATTTGTCCAAATTCACAGACTAGACACTAAAAAGGGTGACTTTACTGAATGTAAATTATAAACTTTTTATTCTTAATTATTTTTTAATTTTTCCTTCATGCAGAGTAACTTCAGGAAATAAACTTTTTTGTTTTTAAAAAAGAAATAATGAAGGCTGGGTGCAGTGGCTCACACCTGTAATCCCAGCACTTTGGGAGGCCAAGGAGGGCAGATCACTTGAGGTCAAGAGTTTGAGACTAGCTTGGTCAACAAGGTGAAACCTCGTCTCTACTAGAATTATAAAAATTCATCAGGCGTGGTGGCACATGCCTATAATCCCAGCTACTTGGGAGGCTGAGCAAGAGAATCGCTTGAATCTGGGAGGCAGAAGCTGCAGTGAGCCAAGATGGCACAACAGAGAATCTGTCTTTAAAAAAAAAAAAAAAAAAAAAAAAAAAAAAAGATAATGAAAAAAGAAAAGAAGAGCTAAACATTTACCCTATGTGAGAAAAAAAAAATTGGGCTTATGATAGGTTTGCTCTTAGACAGTAAAAGCAAGTGCCAGGAATTTAAAGCAAAGAACAGTGAGATGAGAAAGATCTTAAACATACAGTGTTTTGCAATTTTTTTTAGAACAACAAGCTTATACAAGAGGTAAGACTTACTTTGTATTTGATTTGATAATTTGACTTGGAATTTTTCTGTGGGAATAAAAGTGTTAGAATGCTTATTTTTAAATTTCAAAAAATTTGTAGGCAGTAACCAAGGCCTCAGAGCCATGGAGGGCTCTAAAACTAGTTCCATAAAGCATTTTACTGTAAAAATACATACAGATCTTTAACAGAAAAGTATATTTCTTTACAGTAGAAAAATATTTGAACAACTTTTCTTAAAAGACAAAAATTCAAATGTAACATATGACCAGCTAAAACTGAATCTAGCTGTTTATAAGAACTGATTCCAAAATATACATATATGAAAATTTACATAACTGATACGTGGAAGCTCTTTAAAATTGATTGTAAATTTAAAAGTTAAAGTAGGCCTTGCCTCTACAGTTTGGAGCTGCAGATCAGCCGGCAATGGCTGCCGGTCTCAGCTGCTTTCTTGGTGCCTGAGCTGCAGAGTGGGCCTGTCGAGAGGCTGTCGTCTGGGTCACTCTCCCTCTGGCTGTTTATGGCGTAGGTGCATGAGGCACTCAGTCTTGGCCTGGAAAGATGCTAACGGTGTGCAGTGTTGTGTATGCTTGGAGACAGTGGAGCGGGTCCAGGGCAGTCCTCGCCAGGCTGGTTCTAAAGCACTTTTTTGGTTTAGGATTCGGCTTCATCATGGTCACTTTCATTATCACTGTCATTCTCCTCATCTTCTTCCCTCTTTTCTTCTTTAAGCATTTTCAGGTATTTACTAGCTAAAATCTTCTTTGGTAATATATCTTAAAAACATAAAGTTTACATCAGCCATTATGGTAGACTATGAACACAGTAATGCAAATTTCAAAATGTACTATTTCCTGATTTGACCTCTACAAGAGTTTCCAAAACAAGATGAAATTGAGACTATACTTCTGGGTAAAATATCAGGGAAACTAGCACTGTCTCCTAACGAATGCTATAGGACTATTTCCATTTCACTCAGTACAAACCATGGTGTCTCTATGAGCCGCTTTATGAGCAACCCTGCCCAATTAGCTGAGATAGACTAAACTGGCCCAGGGCAGACTTAAGCTCTTTCTAACTATAGGCATGTACACTTACCCTGAGCTTTCCCTCCCGTCGTAGGAAGAAGGGAAAGGACTGCCCAGCACACGCAGCCAACCAGCATCTTGTGCATGCTATTGGCTTCATTTTATTGTTCTAGGTGGACTACATTACAAACACATTCAGACAAGACTAAAAGTATCTTCCAGTGACAGCTCATAGTACCTTTGAGGCTTGGAAAAAGTAGCAAAAAGTCTAATTCCTTCAAAGCAGAAGGGAGGCAAGGGGTATGGGAGTAGCTATTGCTGACTATTCATTTTTCAACCAGAATGTTTCAAAGACTAAGTACCTGTGAGAAACTGAAAAGTTTCTGATTCCTCTGCAGTGTTTGCTAAATCACTGTAAGTCAGTACTTTCTTTTCCTTTCCACTGCCATGTCTGTAGGAATAGGTAGCTAGATATTGAACAAAGAGCTCCTAAAAAAAAAAAGAAAAAGTAAAATGAAAGATGTGCTTTGAAAATTTACCCCAGAGCTCAATTTTTAAAATTATGCTGTTGATAAGCTTATAACAGGCTTAAAATTACATTAAGACTTCAGATTATCTTGGTTTCTCAAATTAAATTACAAGAAATCACTGGGGAGGCCAGACATGGTGGCTCACACCCAGTAATACCAACACCTTGGGAAGCTGAGCCAGGCGGATCACTTGAGATCAGGAGTTTGAGACCAGACTGGCCAACATGGTGAAACCCCATCTCTACTAAAAATTCAAAAATTAGTTGGGCATGGTGGCAGGTGCCTGTAATCCCAGCCACTTGGGAGGCTGAGGAAGGAGAATCACTTGAACTTGGGACGTGGAGGTTGGAAGTTGCAGCACTCTAACCTGTGCAAAAGAGTGAGACTCCGTCTTAAAAACAAATAAATAAATATATCACTGGGGAAAGGAAAAACATGAGGTCAGAAAGCAAGCAAGGCTGGTATCAAAATTGGCGGAGAAGCAGGCATTTTCCAGAGTCTTAGATGTCTAACTTATGAAAAATACGAATCATAACTGTTCAATGAGCAACCTCTAGAGTAAAAGAAGCAAAAAGCCATTCAAAAATTCTGTTTGGCTCAGGAATACATTTTGTCTTCTATTTGCATACACTATTTCTAAGGTGGTTCACCTATAACGATAGTGACCACACCTCCTATTCTGCTGACTTTTCTAGAACTGACAATCCTCAGACCTAATGCAACAACCGGACATCTTCCCCTCCCCAACCCCAGTTCTTAAAGCAGGGCCAGGTCTTCATTTTTACAGAGGATAAACTAAGCCTCTTCCTCAAGGTTTTGATTTCAATGCATCTAGTTCAGTTAATAAGGGATGAGGATGGGCATGGTGGCTCAAGCCTGTAATCCCAGCATTTTGGGAGGCCAAGACAGACAGATCACCTGAGGTCAGGTGTTCAAGACCAATTTGGGCAACATCGTGAAACCCTGTCTCTACCAAAAAAAAATACAAAAATCAGCCGAGTGTCATGGCGGGTGGCTGTAATCCCAGCGAGTAGGGAGGCTGAGGTTGCAGTGAGCAAGATCTGCACTGCACTCCAGCCTGGGGAACAGAGTGAGACTCCGTATCAAAAAAATTAATTAGAAATCTTAAGTGCCTGCATAAATCCTCATTCCCTAAAAGTAATAAAATGAAATTGTACAGGAAAACACAAATGTCCCCAGGTGAAATGCTGAATATGTAATTACTTCCCTGGGCTCTAGGAAAACATGGCTCTGGTATAATACAGCAGGCGAGAAATCTGTAATTTCCCATTTCCCTTAGTTCTGGTCGAACACTGTAGGGACATTATGTACTTAAATACAAGCCGGGACTGGGAAATAGGATCTAAGACAAGTTAAAGCCTTTAACTGTGTAGCTAAAACATGGCCCAGTCTCAAAACAGAAAAACATCTAGCCTAACACTATCAACACGCAATGTTTTTTAAAAAGACAAAATCTATTTTGTACCCAGGAGGATGCTTAAGAGGCTATAAATCTAGGTCCCCTAGACTTCCTTAAATTCTGGCTGGGGGATGTGCTTTCTCTTAGAGGAGGTGCCAGGTGTGGTGCGGAGCGGGGGGCTCGAAAGCCTGGGAGCGCTGGAGCTGGCGCCTGACCCGCGGGAGAAAAGCCTCGAGCCTTGGGTGGAGCGCCCGGCTGCCCCTCCCACGGAACACTGGAGGAGTTAGGGCCCTCAAAGAAAGAAGCAGACCAACGGCAAGAAAAAGGAAGGCCAGGAATAGGGAGTCGCGGGTGAAAGAGCCGCCAAAGAAACCAAATGAGGCCAACTCCACTTGGCGCCGAAGTCTACGGGTAGGGCCGGAAGCTGAGCGCGGTGCGCGAGGGACTACGGGAGCATACAGGTGGGCGGAACAAAAGGCGCGCAAGGGAACTTGGGAGCTTATGGGTTTGCGGGACGGAAACACGCGATGGAGGGCGGGAGCGCGACGGGGTGGACGGGGCCGAAGGTGCGCGAGGAAAGGAGGAGCGAAAAGAGCGAGAAAGGGCGGGAGCGGGTCGCGGTGTATGGGACGAAGAAACTAGAGACAGGGAGGGAGCGGCGCGGGGTGGGCGGGGCGAAGACGCGCGAGAAAGGGAGGGGGTGCCGCGGGTAGGGGCGCGCTGCCACTCCGGCGCGCGCCGGCGTGGGAGGGAGAGGGGGGGCGCGCGCGAGCCCGGTAAGGGCAGCGGGAGGCGCTCGGGTTTAAGGGGACTGGACAGTGCCGGGAGCCTGGCGGGGCGGGGCGCAACGAGCAAAGGCGGCCCACCCCCGCCCCCTCACCGTGGCCTTGGCCGTGAGCACCAGCGCCTCCTGGTTGATGCTGGACACCTCTGGGGAGCTCTTCATGATGACCCGGATGCGTGACAAGGGCAGCGAGACGAGCCGCTGCTCCCCGCACTTGTCTTTGCCCACGACCACGTCCGCCATCTTCCCGCTCATTGCGCGGGCGGCAGCCGGCGGGCCCGACCGCGAAGTGGCTGTCTTACCCGGCCAGCCGGTGGGTGCGAGGAGCCGCGCCCGCTGCCCCGTGGGAGTTGTAGTGTGGGGAGGCGCGGTCGCGCGGCCGGGAGCGGCCTCTTCGGGAGACTACGAACCCCGTGATGCCTCGCGCGCGCGCCCTGCGCATGCGCTGGCGCTCGGACCCTGCCCCCCCTTCTCCCACCCCCGCGCCGAGTGCGAGGCCCGACGCGGGCTGGGCGGAGGCGTCCCACTCAGGAGCCTGCGAACCGTGATCGCGGGACGGGATTTTGAGGTCCAGGGCGCTGCGAATGGGCAAGCAAAGCTCTTTGAGTCCGAGCCTCATCGCTCGGTGCTGTGTGTTAAGCGCCTGCGCTGTGCCAGGGCCGGGCGTGGTGCCGTGGACTTTCCTGCAGCACAGAGTCGTCGGGGGACGGCCAAGCGGACTAGCGAAGGCGTCCTGCACCAGTAGCTAGGCGGCCCGTGGAGGAGCAGAGAGCAGCAGCGCGGGCGATGCGGCGAGGCCGGGCTCGCTGCGCCGCGGGGTAATGGGGAGAAGCGCCTTCCTGTGGGCGGGACTGGGGGAGCTGCCCTGAGGAGGGTCCGGAGCCCGCGGCAACTGCCTCTCCGGGACTGCTCCGAGAGAAGGCGTCCAGAGCCGGGTGTGCTCGCTGAGGTCTGACAGGCAGCCCGGGGCTAGGTCCTGATGGATTTTTTTCTCTGAAAAAAATGGGAAGTCGTGGAAGGCTTTGAGCTAAGGAGTCCCGGACAGTTTTAAAAGGATCCCTGCAGCTGCCAGCTGGGAGGGCGTGGGAGCGCGTAAGGGCGGAATCATCGAGACCAGGTAGAAAGTAATTAGAACCCGGGAACGTGGCCCTCAGGAGGCCGGCTGGACCAAGGGGACAGCAGCTGAGAGGAGAGTGGCAGGAGATGGTTAGGGGCCAGAACAGGGAGTGCCTTGGGGACCTCAGAATTCACTCCTTTAGAGCGGGGAGGCCCTTAGAAAAGTAAGGGGTCCAACTTAACTTTTACCAGGATCTTGGAAAGTGGTAGGATTTGGGGTCTGAGTTCAAGAGGGAGCTGAGGTGACGTGGACTACAGCACAGCTTTCTGAGGTATCAGAAAGGCCTCGGTAAAGAGCCGTGTACTCAGGGAGCACTGTGGCAGGAGCACATTTTGGCATAGGTTTGAATTGGAGCCTGTTGAGTGTAGTGTCTTCTTCACCACTGTGACCTCAGGTCCCGGCCCAAATAATTGAGCACAGAAATACATGTCAGGCATTGCTAGCGCAAGGGTTCAGCCGGTGAGCAGGGCTGCCATGGCCCCTGCCCTCTTACAGCTGACGTGCGTGTCTGAGGGAGACTGAAAAATAACACCTCCGGTCAGGCGCGGTGGCTCACGCCTGTAATCCCAGCACCTTGGGAGTCCTAGGCGGCTTGATCACCTGACGTCAAGAGTTTGAGACCAGCCTGACCAATATGGTGAGACCCGGTGTCTTCTGAAAATAAGAAAATTAGCTGGGGGTGGTGGTGGGCTGAGGCAGGAGAATGGCTGGAATCCGGGAGGCAAAAGTTGCAGTGAGCTAAGATCGCGCCACTGCACTCCAGCCTAGGCGACAGAGGAAGACTCAGTCTCAAAAACAAACCCCAATGCCGAATGCTACGAAGAAAACAAAATCACGTGCAAGTGATAGAATTAGCCTCTCTGAGAAGTATCATTTGTGCCCAGATCTGAAGAAAGAAAAGGAGCCAACCATACAGGAAGACTGAGACAAGGTGAGCTTTCAAACAAGCCAGACTGGGGAGAACACCTCAGAGGAAAATGTCCGGGCAGATTAAGGAATCGAAAAGCCAGTGTGGCTGGAGCTTAGCGATGGAGGCAGACAGCACGGGAGACTTGTTTACGAGGTGGGTGGTGGGACTGGCTCCCGCATGGGTCAGAAGCTTGGCTTTCATTTCAAGAGCAATGGAAAATAAGACGTTTGAAGTCGAGGTGGCACATGCCTGTAATCCCAGCACTTTGGGAAATTTAAAGCAGGCAGATCGCTTGAGCTGAGCCCGGGAGTTTGAGATTAGCCTGAGAAGCATAGCAAGACAGCATCTCTACAAAAAATTTAAAATTAATAGGGCATCGTGGCAAGAACTTGTGTTCCCAGCTACTCTGGAGGCTGAGGCAGGAGAATGGCTTAAGCCCATCAGGTCAAGGCTGCAATGAGTGGTGATTTCGCCACTGCACTCCAGCCTGAACTACAGAGCAAGATCCTATCTCACAAAAAAATTAAGGGGAGGCTGAGGCAGGTGGATCACAGGTCAGGAGTTGAAGACCAGTTTGGTCAGCATAGTGAAACCCCATCTCTACTAAAAATACAAAAATTAGCCGGGCATGGTGGTGTGTGCCTGTAGTCCCAGCTACTTGGGAGGCTGAGGCAGGAGAATTGTGTGAACCTGGGAGGCAGAGGTTGTGGTGAGCCAAGATCACATCACTGCACTCCAGTCTGGGCAACAGAGTGAGACTCCGTCTCAAAAAAATAAAAATAGGCTGGGCGCGGTGGCTCATGCCTATAATCCCAGCGCTTTGGGAGGCCGAGGCGGGTGGATCACGAGGTTAAGAGATCGAGACCATCCTGGTCAACAAGGTGAAACCCCGTCTCTACTAAAAATACAAAAATTAGCTGGGCATGGTGGTGCGTGCCTGTGGTCCCAGCTACTCGGGAGGCTGAGGCAGGAGAATTGCTTGAACCCAGGAGGCGGAGGTTGCGGTGAGCGGAGATAGCGCCATTGCACTCCAGCCTGGATAACAACAGCGAAGCTCCGTCTCAAAAATAAAAAATAAAAAAGAGTTTTGGGCCTGGCTCAGTGACTCACGCCTGTTATCCCAGCACTTTGGGAGGCTAAGGTGGGCAGATCATGAGATCAGGAGTGTCTACTAAAAATACAAAAATGAGCCAGACATTGTGGCATGCACCTGTAGTACCAGCTACTCAGGAGACTGAGGCAGGAGAATCACTTGAACCCAGGAGGTGGAGGTTGCAGTGAGCTGAGATCACACCACTGCACTCCAGCCTGGGCAACAGAGCAACACTTTGTCTCAAAAAGAAAAAGCTTTTAAGGTAGCAGATCCACTTTAAAAGCACACACTGGTTCTTGAGTGATGACAAAATGGCACTGCCTTGTGTAGAGCCTACTCCTGGGAGTTTGCACAGACAGGAGGTGGAGCTTCATCCTCAGGACTGTGCTCCTAGTCTTTCTCTCCTGACCTTGCCTCTGTAAGTGAGAAAGCCCTTGACATTCACAGAAGACAAGGGCGGGGAACTGCTACACGAAAGCAGCTACACAGGAGGGTCCTTTGGTCCACACAGGAAACAAGCCATAGTGATGACATACCTGCTGAGGCTGTTAAATGTTTTGTTTCCCCAGCTGGCTGTTGTCTTTTATATGGCTTGTCTTTCTGTTTTGAGTATGTGTGAGAGCAGGCTGGGTTAACGTTAGGAAAGATCACAGGATAAGAGGAAGGAAGGAAGAGCCAAAAGAAGTCAAGGAGAAGAGGGATGAGAAGCTAGGCTTGTAGAATTGGCACGTGATGTTTGCAGTCATTGATCATATGAGAAGTAGAGAGAAGCCAAGCAGGAAATCTTGACTGGAAAAGAAGTGCTCACCATTTTTTTTTTTTTTTTTAAAGCAAGCTCGGTGCAATTGCTCATACCTGTACAAATCCAACACTTTTGCAGGCCGAGGTGGGAGAAACACTTCAAGCCAGGGGTTTGAGACCAGCCTGGGCAATATAACAAGACCCCCAATCTCTAAAAAAAAAAAAAAAAAAGGACAGCAGAATTAAAGACTGTTATTCTTGAGAACTTTCCGGCTCTGGAAAAAGCTCAGTGAGTTAGTCTCATTCTGCTGTTAGCTCCGTTTTCTAGAGGCCCACTTTGTCTTCACGACAGTGCCTCTGTACCATTCTCATGGGCATCCCAGGGTGCTGCAAGGCAGTTTTCTGCATTCCCCAGAGTGTCCTGTCAGCTGGCTTCTGGGTAGGTTCTGCAAATGGGAGGCCTCTATGAGAGACTGCAGTGGGGTCGGAGGAAGAAGCCTTGTTTATCTGCCTGCTGGCTGCAGGGTAGTGACTGCAGTGTGGGGTTATAGGGATCACCACCTGCACATAGGGTGCTTTAAGCGTCTTCACTCTAGGTTTCTGCTCAACAGCAGCAGCTCCTCGAGTCCCTTGGGGGTGAGTGTGGGCTCCTGGACTTGGGGCCAGGGGCAGTCGCAGCTTCCTAATCTCTAGGTAGCATCTCTTCCTTTTTGCTGCAGAGTACCTCTCCCTTCTCAGTTACACTCCGCCAACTCCAGCAACACCCTTGAAAACAATTCTGGCCTGGGTGCCTGGGTGTGGTGACTCAGGCCTGAC